TTAAGGGTAGCTTTCAAAGGCATTTACACATCGTGCAGATTGCAGGAATCCAGTCAGGTGATGACAAATGATTCAATGCAGCTGAATGCTCCAATTAAGACTGTATCTGGCAGCATAGCCTTGTTGACCAGGATCTCCCCTGCACATCCAATACCCCTGACTTCAAGAGGAACCTCTTTATGGACCTACTTTCTAAAGGCAGCACAACTACCTTGGGAGACATATCCAGAGATAACAAGAGTACTGAACAAAGCAAATTTGTTTTATTCGAGTTACTGTACAGACAGTCTTTGACTTATAACTGCCTGCTTAGCGGCCAAAATGGTGACTTAGAATGGGCCCCTGAAAAGCTACTTGGTTTCAAAGTTCTGATGTTGACCCTCCCCCAGTCACATGATTGCATTTTGGGAGCTTGACACCTGGCCCACATTTATGGCCATTTGCAGCCCCCGCTGTCACATGACTGTGACTTATGACGATTTTGCAGAAACCAGTCTTTACGTCCAGTTTATAGCAAAAAACAGCCTGCAGCAAACAATGGTTTGGGCTGCTGCTGCAGCAGCAAAAAAGGTAGTAAAATCAGTTTGGTTATGTGATGATCTGCTTTTATGACTGTCATGACTATCGGCTATAATTGTCAGGCTGATTTCAATTGTAAGTCAAGGGCTACCTTTAGCCTGTTTTGTCCAACAGTCTCCAGGTATCTGGAAAAGATTTCAACAGCATCTCCCACTGAGCTCAGAATGGCAGTATTCAGCTAAGTATCATCAGCATATCGATGGAATTATATTCCTGGTGGGCTCTCCCTGGAGCATAGTGTTAATGTTAAAAAGCAAGGGGGAGAAGACCATGGACCGTTGCCTATAGCAACCCAAACTGGGCCAGCTTTCCAGGACAGCCTTTCCTCCAGACAACTTGCTTCCCTTGCATATTTATCAAAGCAGCTTGAGCCCAAAGATCTAGAATTGGGACTCCTGGAGCCAGAACTGGATATTGGTAGCAGATGGCTGATTAACCTTCCCTTGTAATGGCAACCAGGGTGTCTCCCCAATGGGGATTTGATGGAGAAGCGAAAGTTTTGTACTGACTCTAAACCAGTGGTTCTCAACCTGTGGGTTGGGACCCCATTTGGGGTCGAATGACCATTTCACTGGGGTCGCCAAAGAAGGCTGTCCGCCATTTTTTCCCTCTTTTCTTTGGCCACGCCCCTGGCACCCGGTGATGTATAAGTGATTGGGGGTCACCACAACATGGGGAACTGTATTATGGGGTCGCGGCATTAGAAAGGTTGAGAACCACTGCTCTAAACTATGAGCAGACAGATAAAGGAAGAGGATTATAAATTCCCTGAGAAGTACAGTACTGGCAGCACCGTTACATTGTTCGCAAGGATTTAGAGAGACATGCAGTCAAAAATAGTTTATTTCTTTCTTCCATACAAAATACCATCATGTACGAAAATGCACACATATAGTTTTGTCAATCAGTTTGCATTTTAAAAAGTTGCAGTGAATCAAATGCATTTTTTTTTCAGTGATGTAAACCTAGAACTGTGTCCATAAGTGTCATCGGGGCATAAAATGAATGATCATTCAGCAAAAAAATGTATTGTTACATCTGAAACCAGAGATGACTTTTGACAAATTTCCTATAACTGTTCATGATTAAGAATGATTGGCCTTAACTTTTCTACGGTAATCAAGGCGGTTTGTATATCTAAAATAAAAAGGCACACACACTATGGCAGTGTTTCCCAAACTTGACAATTTTAAGGCATGTGGACTTCAACTCCCAGAATTCCACAGCCAGCGTTGCTGGCTGTGGAATTCTGGGAGTTGAAGTCCTCATGCCTTAAAATTGTCAAGTTTGGGAAACACTGCACTATGGAATCTCTTTGGTACATGGTTCATCAAAAATTACTGGGAACTGCAGAGTAATGCTGTTCTCAGCAATCTGTGTACAGAAGAGCTTCAAGACTCTGCTCAAAATACAATTAGATCTTTCAATATACATAGATGTAGACTAGTGATGAAGTATCAAAGCATGCATGCATACTTACAGATCATTGAACAGACCAAAAAAGAAAAAAAAGATAACTTTGAAAATGTTTTTCAGTCACAGTTGAATACCTAAGCAATATTACACAGTTGTTCTAGAGACGGAAAATAACTTGAACTCTAACTTCTTATAAGAATAACATTGAATGAACCTCCTTTATACTGAAATTTTCAGGTTTATGAACCTCTCCTGTATTAATTCCTTTGCCATGGCAAAATTTCTTACAAGCTGTAGGTGACTACTAATAAGATTATTTGCGAGGGATTTGCTCAGAGTATCTTCTATTGCAGTGGTTCTCAACCTGTGAGTCGGGACCCCATTTGGGGTCGAACGACCATTTCACGGGGGTCGCCAAACAACGCAGTCTGCCATTTTTTCCCCCCTTTTCCTTAGCTGTGCTACTCCCTTTTATTCTATTGGCTTTTGAAAGGCAATAGAATAGACTCTCTTGAATAGAGTCTAATTCTATTGGCTTTCAAAAGCCAATAGGAATTGCCCAGGCTGTCTCTGCCCTGCTGAGCCCGCCAAAAGTCCCATTCTGCAAACGGTGCTGCACCAGTTTAGTCCTCGACTTACGACCGGTTGAGTAGTCCTCGACTTACCACCGGTTGGGGGGGGGGTCGCGGCATTAAAAAGGTTGAGAACCACCGTTCTATTGTCTTTCTTTTAAAATAGTGTTATGGTATGCTTTAAAACTATTTCATGGCCCTTCAGAAGAGACGCACGAACATAATTTGATCAGGGTACAGTGGCTTCCTTTTAAAAAAGAAAGGCAGCACTACATTTACAGAATTAACCCAGAAAGGGGGAGGGGATAGAGTTCAAAGAAGGTCCCAGTACCCCTTATTCTGGAGGAGAGTGCCAGGAAGGAAAAGTAGGAATGCAAAAAGGCATTTTAGCTGCCTGGATACATTTTGGAAACAGTAATTTGGACAGGGTACATCTACTTACATACATGCTTCTGTTCATTCGAAAGCTTAAAAATAAACAGGCGGTCTGTTGATAACAATCTATGCTTTCATAAAGCACATTTTTTTAAAATATAGGTAGTCCTCAACTTACAACAACTGAACCCAAAATTTCTGTGACTGAGACACTTAAGTGAATTTTGCCCCACTTTACGACCTTTCTTGCCACAGTTGTTAAGTGAATCACTGCAGCTGTTAAACTAATAACACCGTTGTTAAGTGAATCTGGCTTCCCCATTGACTTTGCTTGTCAGAAGGTTGCAAAAGGGAATCGCGGGGCTGCGTGACATTGCAACCGTCGTAAGTACAAGTCAATTGCCAAGCGTTTGAGTTTTGATCACGTGACCAAGGGAATATTGGAATGGTCACAAGTGTGAAAAACGGTCATAAGTCACTTTTTTAGTGCTGTTGTCACTTTGAACCGTCACTCAATGAACGGTTGTAAGTTAAGGACTACCTGTACAGTTATTTCTTAGCATCTGTTGCTTGGCTAAACGTGCAATCACCAACACATTTCTTTAGCCACACAAATGAATCAGAAATCTCAACACAGCAAGCCACAAAGGAACTGGATAAAAGCCAGCCTTGAGAGCTTTTCGTATGTTTGCACTACAGATATAAACATGAAATTGCTGAGAAAGTATCCTTAGACTTCTAAAGAGTACTATATGCATTTTCCTACATAGGATAGGATAGGCTTATTATTCCAGGGGTCTTCAAACTTGGCCACTTTAAGACTTGTGGACTTCAACTCCCAGAATTCCTCAGCCAGCCCTGGCTGGCTGAGGAATTCTGGGAGTTGAAGTCCACAAGTCTTAAAAATGGCCTAGTTTGAAGACCCCTGGCTTATTCATTCTTGTTGACATACTGGTAGTAATTTTACTTGCTTTATAACCGGTGGAGAGAAATTGGGTTCAGATCCCACCAGAGAGTTGACTAATGGAATCATGAGGTCCTAGTACCTTTTCCCATCCAAAGGCTCTTTACAAGATCCCCATCCTCAGCTAAGTACTATAGTCCTCGACTTACGACAATTGAGCCCAACGTTTCTATTGCGAAGGGAGACTGTCGTTAAGTGAATTTTGCCCCGTTTTACGACCTTTCTTGCCACTCTTCAATCTGGCTTCCCCACTGACTTTTGCTTGTCAGAAGGTTGCAAAAAATGGTCACACAACTCTGGGACATTGCAACCGTCATACAGACGAGCCAGTTGCCAAGCGTCCGAATTTTGATCACGTGACCGCGGGGATGCTGCAAGGGTCGTAAGTGTAAAGAATGGCCATAAGTCACTTTTTTCAGTGCCGTTGTAACTCTGAATGGCTGTAGGTCGAGAACTACTTGTAGAATGCCTGCATTTTGCCCACCCCTTTCATCCAGTGGCAAAAGGAATGAGGAAAGCAGTACGAGAAGCTCGAGACATGCCTGAAACTCTTGCTATGGATTTACTCATTGCATGCATATAAATGGCAAATTGATTTCTAGTCTGGTGGTAAAAATGATAGTTTGCCTCTTGCCAACTTATCAGAAAGTCCAGCAGCAACCTTATTCAGACAGACCTTGCCACTTGGGCTTTTAATTACAGGCCAAATTTGACTATGGACCCAGGCACGTCATAAACGAATTAAACCTCAAAGCTTAACCATGATTAGAAGACATGCTGGTTGCTCCATGTTTATTTTCATGTGGGAAAAAAAATGCGACTTAATTGTTCACCCAAGAGTAAGCACATCAGCAAAATTACAAGTTATTTCCTTTTAATTTGGGGAATAATTTCTATCTGCAAAAGTTTCATTCATTATTAATCTTTGTTTTAAAAAGGGAGGGTTGCATATCGCTTAGCATCTTGAGATTCAAAAGAGAAGGAACAGACACCTCAACATTGCTTTCATTTATACTGTTATCACTTGATAGTTTCCAACTGAAATCTTAATCTAGACTCTGAAAAATATTTTTTTTCCCCAATTTTCATCTTTCTTTTCATACAAACAGTAATTTGGGTAAGGAAAGATCAGGTTAAAAACAATGAAATATGAAAATAACTACTCCTGTTAATTCTCTAATACTTAGTGGATAGCACATCTCAGTGAATTCATGAAATATTTGGGGTTAATATATAGTGTTATGTTGAGCGGCCTGGGGGGCCTCCCACTTGGAAGGTTGAGAGTTCAGTCCCAGGTAGTGGCAGATGTTTGTTTCCTGGGGCGCAAAGCAAAAATGTCTGCTGTGAACTCTGCATGGCGTCAGGAAGGGCATCCAGCCAGCTAAGCTCTATCCAGTTGCCCAGACTCTACCCTGAATTAAGTGATTACAGGGTTGTAAAAAAGGAGTTTTATATAAAGTTATGCTAAAGGACTTATTATTAGACTACAAAGAGTTTCCTTTTATTCTTCATTTGACAGTGTATTTGCTTTCACAAGTAGCTTATTATGTGCTACAATGGGCTAATTGTTGAGAAAAAAAAAGGCTAAAGCTACTCTAAGCCTACAGAATTAGATTTTTGAATCTTTAGGTATGTTGCATTCATTTGGGTCCAAACATTTCAATTGTTTTGGTTGTTTGGTTGAGCATTAAATTAATAGTTTTGGGTTTGACAATTATATTTTTTAACTCAGTTGATTTTCAGGGTGGAAATCATTTATGTTAAATGCTGATATTATTCATGGTATCAAGCACACATATAAAAATTCCCTAATACTGGTGCCTCATAAGGTATGCATCTATTACAATAAATAGAATTTCCAATTAGCTCCCTACTTGTCTAGGCAAATCTTAAGGTTTTTAAGTCATATTTTTCCTTTAAAAATGGCATAACAGAAAAGTCAGGTAGATGAAATGTTTTTTTCCTTTATTTAGGTACATATTTGGTTATTTTTTAAAAATTCTGTTTTTTCATTTTCTAAAAAAATATATGTTTCTTTCTAAAGTGCATTGTTCTACTCCCTACCATTTTGCTCAAGAGATTTGAAAGTATACAGCAACATCCAAACCATACAGAGCTTCAATGAAATATGAATAGAAATTCAGCTATCTGGGGTACAAAAATTATAAGGGTATGAGACAAACTGTCATTGTCATTAATTTTAAAGTCCACAGTCTAGACATTTTGATGCTTTCTAATCATAGGGAAAGCTTTTGCATTAAAATGATTTGCTGAAAAATCTCAGCACATTTGCCACAGTAATATGAAGAGAAAATTCTCAGAAATATTGCAGGGCACCAATAAACTGGATTCCATTAGAGTCTGACACAAGTCAAGAGAGGATCATAGAAACCCCATTACTGCAGAAGAAAACTCAAGTGATAATCTTCTGCCTTTCAAAGTTGCTTGTCCAATTATTCCCGATCTTCACATCAACGACAAAGTATGATAAATCCTTTCCAGACATTGTCTGAAACCCACAATTATATCAGAATACCTTGGCTACCAAGATCATTGCACTCCTTCTCTTCCTACTCTTGAGGACGGTTCCATTAACTAAGCCCAATTTCTCCAAGGTCCACTTCCACAATTTTTTATTTCTTCCAGCTCAAACAGATGTAGGAGTTGTGTAATAGCATTTCTGAAAAGTTCATTAGTAAGAAAGTGTGTTTTCTTTTTTTAAAAAGGAGCCATATTAAAAGCCAAGGCAGTCACACTTAACAGTTCTCCACCAATTGGCAATTCAACTTTCAGTCGGAGCATGTTTCAAGAACTACGTACCAACAGTAACAATGAAAACCCTGCACTCAAATATGAGATAACAAGAGGGGCCCAGCTCCCCTCTCAGAATTGTCTCAGAACATATCTTCTGTTAGAACAGACCTAATTGTTTTATTGGTCTGAAAATTACAGGCAATTATTTGGAGATTCGTGAGAACTCAAACTAGATCACCTTTTTTACACTGATGCTCCAAAGAAGATAAAAACTGAGGTCTTTTTTTTTTTTTTTAGTCCAAGCAAATGCAGGTCACCAAATGATGGAAGCAAAAGGAACCATGTGGAGCAGAGTCTTTTTACTGGGTCAACACCCTCCCGGTCTTGCCAGCCCGCATGGCAGAACAGGTCACAAGTCTGAAGAAAGATGCAGGACCCTCCCTCCTTCATACCCCATCATCTTCTGCCAGCCACAGTCAGGGAGAGCCACGAAAGCCCTTTGTGGTATTGGGCTCCTGCTGAGTTCTTTGTGGTTTTGGCTGCATCAACACCTTAACATTATTGGCAAATCCAGCATAGCTTTATTACATGATCTTGGAGCTTAAATCTCTTTTGCTGATGAGGACCTCCAGAAGCCTCAGTTTGGCCTTAACCTGCTTGTATTCATTATATTCTTCAGCCATGGGAACACGGTCTTCTTTCTGGACGTTTCTAAAAAGCACAACCAGATGAAATATATCAGCTTCCTGTATAGGATTGTGTCCTTAAAGGCATATTTTACAACTTTTGGAATGAGAGAAAACAGAAGAGTAAACTTAGCATGTCCTGGATAGGGAGGTGGGAAAATGCTTTAGGGCAGTGATGGCGAACCTTTTAGAGACCGAGTGCCCAAAAACCACCCCGCCCCTAGGCCCGCCCACCTGCTCCGCCACCTGCCCCTGCTCCACCCCCTGCTCTGACCCCGCCCACTCTCAGGGCCACCCACCACCTCCATGGCCTGCCACAGATCACCCAGGCAACCCTGCAATGCCATGGCCATGCCATGCCCTCCACCCACATCTAGCAGCAGCATCTGCGCGCATCGGGGCGCGAAGGTGGAGTCTTGTCCCTGCTGCCTGGCTGCCATGTTCTTGGCTGCACTGCTCTGCACGGGCTGCACCCAGGGGCGACTCTCCGGGGGGGCTGCTGGTGAGGAAAGGGCCGCGGGAGGAGGCGGGGCTGGGGCAACAACGTGCATGCCCACAGAGAGGGCTCTGAAGTGCCACCTCTGGCACGTGTGCCATAGGTTCACCATCACTGCTTTAGGGAATTTAAAAAAAGGAAAATTCAAGTGTGAGTCCAACCCTTTAGTGAAAGGAAGTACAGGTAGTCCTTGACTTACAACCATTCGTTTAGCGACCGCTCAAAATTACAATGGCACTGAAAACAATGACACCCGTTTTTCACACTTATGACCACTGCAACTTCCCCACGGTCCTATGATCAAAGTGCGGCTGCTTGGTAACTGGTTTAAATTTATGATGGTTGCAGTGTCACGGGGTCACACGATCATCTTTTGTGACCTTCTGACAAGCAAAATCAATGGAGAGGCCAGATTTGCTTCACAATCATGTTACTAATTTAACCTCTGCAGGGATTCACTTAGCAACGGTGGCAAGAAAGATTGTAAAATGGGGCAAAACTCATTTAATTTATTTGCTAAATGAGTAATAGAAATGTTGGCCTCAATTGTGGTCGTAAGTCAAGGACTATCTGTAGATCTTCTGGATATTAATATCCTCTACTACATTCATAGAAAGACAGTTATGACAATCCCTATAAAAAAACTAGCAACAAGCAGAGCAGGAAAACAAGGTGGACAAGGCACATTTTCCCAGAACATTTGTTGGTTTGCCAGCTAGTGCAAAGAGCATTGCTGGCTCTTTAACAAACAAAATCTCTAGTTCCCCATACTGCAATTTTGAGATGCACATACTCTAAGTGAAGGGATTTATATTTTAAGCCTGTTCCATACATTATTATAATCTTCTGATACTCAGACTGGTGGAATTCATTAGCTCAAGATAGAGCTTGATTGGATAGCTTTAAAAAGGGACTGAACAATTTATGGAGGACAGCTCTACCAAAGGCAATTAATACTCAATGTATTAATGTGGCGAATGTGGCAAGGGATCCAGGCCATTTCGGCTTACAAGGTGGCTCCATCGAGATGCAAGGATGACACAAACTTCCTAAACAAGCTGAATGCATTTTTCGGTAGATTTGAGGCATCAAATAGCACTCCTGCTAGGAAAGCAGTGCCCCATCCTGATGAGCAAGTGCCAAGCTTTGATGTCACCTCTGTCCGGAAAACACTGCAGACCGTTAACATTCGGAAAGCAGCAGGCCCAGATACCATCCCTGGACGTGTCCTCAGGGAATGCGCAGGGGAGCTGGTTTGTGTTATCACAGATATTTTCAACCTCTCATTGCAGCAGGCAGTGATCCCATCGTGTTTTAAGACGGCCATCATCTTGCCAGTGCCAAAAAAGTCCACAATTACAGACCTCAATGATTACCGTCCGGTTGCACTGACATCCACCATCATGAAATGCTTTGAGAAGCTGATAAAGGACATTATTGTATCTAGCTTCCTGCCAGCTTTTGACCTGCTTCAGTTTGCCTACCGACCAAATCGCTCTACGGAGGATGCTATTTCTTCCGTTCTCCATCTGAGCCTGAAGCAGTTAGAGGAAAGAAATACTCATGTGCGTTTGCTGTTTGTTGACTTCAGTTTGGCGTTTAACACAATCATTCCCCAGCATCTAGTAGACAAACTGGGCCTTTTAGGCTTAAACATTCCTCTGTGCAACTGGATTCTTGATTTTCTTACCAACAAGCCCCAATATGTGCGAGTTGGAACAAATACCTCTAATACCATTTTCTTGAGCACAGGTTCTCCTCAGGGCTGTGTCTTAAGTCCACTGCTGTTCACCCTGTTGACCCATGACTGTTGTGCTAGGTTTGCCACCAACCATATTGTGAAGTTTGCAGATGATACAACAGTAGTGGGCCTTATTCAGGAAGACAAGGTGGAAGCTTACCGCAAGGAGGTTGAAGGGTTGGTGAACTGGTGTAAGGAAAACAGCCTAGTTTTAAATACTGGAAAAACCAAGGAGATCATTGTCGATTTCAGAAAAGGCAGACACAGCCACATTTCTCTGTGCATAAATGATTCACCTGTGGAGACGGTTACCAGCATCAAATTTCTGGGTGTGCAGCTAACGAGTAGGCTGACTTGGTCACTCAACAGTGAGAAACTGGTGAAGCGGGCACAGCAGCACCTGCATTTTCTGTGCAGCATGAGAAAAGCACATCTTCCTTCCCCTGTCCTGACCACTTTCTACAGGGGGACAATCGAGAGCATCCTATCATACAGCATCACAGTCTGGTTTGGAGGCATCACTGCTTCAGACAGGAAGGCGGTGCAGAGAGTGGCGAGAATGGCTGAAAAGATAATTGGCAGTTCCCTCCCTCCCATCCAGGACATAGCACAGAAGCGCTGCTTGAGCAGGGTCTGTAAGATTATCTGAGACACCTCACATCCTCTTCACGACCAGTTTTCCTTGTTCTCTTCTGGGAGGAGGGGGCTTCGTGGTATCCGAAGCAGAACATCCAGATTCAGCCAGAGTTTTATTCCATACAGCATTAACCTTGCGAACTCTCAAGCTTCCTCCTTCCGTTATATATTCAAGATGGACAATATTTAATATTTATTTGCTACGTATATGTAGGGTTGTGGGTCTATACATATGTTGTTCATAGTATGTTTAGGTGTGTGTCATGTATGTGTTTCACTTTGAGAGTGGGCAACTAAATTTCATTTTTGATGTGTGCCGTTGTGCCCACAGTATAAAAATGACAATAAAGGTTATCTTATCTTACTCAATGCCATCTCTTGTTTGGGGGCAGAACAGCTTTAAATGCCACCTTCAGGGTAAAATGTGACAAGGGAGTAGTGTCCTTTTCTCTCTCCTGCTTTTGACCATTCCAGAGGCCTTTGGTTAGCCAACGAGAATCCAAAGGATCTTTACTTTAGAAGTTTAGAAATATGGCAGAGAGGAAAAACCAAAGATTAGTAAGCAGAGCCTTTGCAAGAAGTTAAAAATAATATAACATGCAAGATGAATTAGTCCAGGGTTGGGGTAAAAAAAAGAGGATGGCAAGTTACCTTCCATTTTGTCGGAAAAAATTGTCTTCAAAATCTCTCAATTTTTTTCTGATCCTCTTTTTATCTTCCCTGACTTCTTGAAGCTGCTCCACAAGTTCACGCCTACAAAATGAAAGAAAAATGGGCAGCCCAGTATTAAAAAGAGACAAAAACCCAACAAGCATGAAAACAAGGTGGAAAAGATACATTTCTCCCAAGTATTGTCTTTGTCAGAAAAAAGGAAAACGTGTGGCTTACTCTTTAAGAAATAAAATTTTTAATACTCCAGAGTGAGAATGTAGCAAAGTGTTTTATACTTTAAGTCTGTTAAATTGTCGTCTCATGTTATTAAATTGTCATATTGAAGCCTGTGGAATTTGAGACTTCAGTAGCACAAATCTCAATGTCATAATTGTTAACTCCACAATTCCATTGATAATTAGCTAACTTAACAAGTGCCTGTTGAGTTACTCAAAGTTGAGTAAAAGCAAAAAATTTAAGACTAAAATTCAGCTGACTTGAAATTCCACTCCATTCCATTCAATTGTTGCAACTCTTCCCCTGTTTTGCTAAGTTTTCAGGGAAAAATGTCAGGAATTTTTTTTTTCTGCGACACACTAATAAGAGTCAATTTTGAACAGAAATAGGCTGACTAGTACAGTTAAAGCAATGGCCACTTGTCCAATGCATGCAAAGTGTATTTGTATCAGAGCTTTTTCCATTCTGCCCCCTGCATGAGATGTGAGAGTGGGGACTTCCACAAGGACATTGACTACTCCCTCTCAAGGTAAAATTGAAATGCAAGATTTGGCTGAGTGGTCAATAAATGGCAGGAATTTCACCACATGTCACTGCGAAAGTTTAGTAACATCTTAGCCAAACTAAAAAAAAAATTAAAAAATCTATACCCAGAACATGAAGTTGATTATTAAAAAATTGACATACACAGGAGCAGCGTGAAGATTTGACAATCCCATGTCCTGGCTGCTTCTTGAAGGGATCCTATCATCCACTGGAGAAATGAAGCCGTCAGCATCATCTTCTAGTCGGTTCAAAAAGCTTCGCACGCCAAAGTCAGACTTTATTGTGTCTGTGAAATCTGGTTTCACACTGCTGTCATCCTCAGAGCCATCCTCTTCCTCCTGTGGAGAGATTTTGATTTCAATGGTTATTAGTCTCTGATAGGCGTGCATCATCAAAATGGAAAATATTAAAAAAAATGCATAGACCAAATACTTTCAAATATAGCATGGGAAAGGGCAGTCTGTGTCTTGCTACCTTGTGGATGCTTCTTTAGTATGCTTTCTAAATAACTGGGATTGTCTGAACCAGGAAGAAAACTGTCATATGTAAATATACAACTAACATTGCTAAGATTTGCAAAGAAGCTAGTAGGCCGATATAGAGGGCAGTGGACATGGGTTTGGGTGAATTCCAGGAAATAGTGGAAGACAGGGGGGGCTGGTGTGCTATGGGGCATAGGATCATGGAGAGTCAGGCACGACTTTGTGACAACAACAACGGACTAACATTGCCCAGACTTTTTTCCAATTCTAAAGGATGTACAAATGTTTTATTTTCTTTTGCCAGCTGGAATCCAGCAAGTGAAAAGGCCACAGTACTTAGACAGCACCAAAAATATACCTTCAGTTTGGGTTATCTGAACCTAGTATTTATATTGTGGCCACGTTTAATTGTCAAATAATCTATTTCTAGGAACTGAACAATGCTTAAAAGAAGACAGATGTTTCCATCCCTAAATAGAGACCTTGGAACATAGGAAGTGTTTTAGTGAACTAGGATTTATTCATCTATTCCAGTCTTCCCAATTTAGACACTGTTGGATGGATTTTAATTCTTGTAATTCTACACCCAGCATGTCTACTGTGGAAAATTCTGAAGGATCTAGATTTGGAGGACATCCATGTTGGGGAAGGGAGATGACAACACAACCATTTATATCATCTTATTGCCAGATATGTCCTTTTGTAGTAGGCAAATGTGGTTAGACAGAACTGCAAAGAGGTTATTTCTTACACTGGTAATGAATCAACAAGCAAAAGCATGAAGATTAAAAAAAAATTAAGATTCCCAGAATACTCTTCTAGACAAACTTGGGTCTTGCACTAATCACATAGCTTAAAAGTCTAGGGGAACTGTGAAATTGAAGTATATCACTAAATAAAACAATTTTCTAAAGCAGAGTGTATTAATTGATCTCTAGCTTCCATGGGTGGGATGATTTTAGAAATCCAGGAATTAAGATAGAAAACTGTTACAACTGAAGTACATTGTAAAATCAGTCAGCAGAATGTGGGCAAACTGTGAAAAACAGCTATAGATTTTGCTGTGATGTCCTTGGTTACCTAGTGTGGTGATGATATATCTACATGAAAACAACCAAGCTCAGAGAGCACAGTTGAACCCTGAGTTGCAAATATTCTCTTCTACTGATTTTGCTTCCTGGAAACATGGAGATGAAGGAAAAGCATCATTATCATCACCCACAGTGGAGGAGGAAAATTGATGTAAGTTGAACAAATAAATTAATGTGGGAGGGAAGCCAGAAATCCCACTTTTGATTCACCTTTATCTCTTTGAAGAAGGAAGCAGTTTCTCCTTCAATTATTGGCTGTAGCAAAGGACTTCTCCGCTTGCTAGAGGGAGAACCCTGCAAATAGATATCCAAATAGATTTTGTTACAACCCCTTTCTTTTCCACCTTATTCTTATTTCCCCACAACCTACAGCACATTCATTCCCACATCAACAGAATAGTTACGGTATTGTTATTCTAATCTATGCCAATAAAGGAGAGTATTTGTATTCTAGGCCATTCAATGCAGAACAGAAAATGTTTCCCCATCATGCTTTTCATATATTATACCATAGAAAGCCTTTCTTACAGTATACATCAGGGGCCCCCAACCTCCCAGTCTGTGGCCACAGCTTGCTTAGAACCAGGCTGTGGAAGTGGTGGGCAAATGTGCGTGCACGTGAAGCTGCACTTGTGAAAGAGATATGTGTGCACAAACCCATCCCCTTTCTCTCCCTTCCACCACGCCAGAAAGTTGGGAGACCATTAGTATACAACAACCTCATGGCAAAATGACATAGACAACTAAACAAGCCTAGGTTTGGAGATGTGGATGGTGGCTGGAGTTTCAAAGATTCTCGGGGACCTCTCTGATAAGATAGGACTTCTTTCTAATGGACCAAGATGGGGATTTTAGGTAAAAGGAAAGTCCAAATGGTTAAGGTGGGATTGCAAACTAAATAGGAGTTAGCTGTGCGATGTGGCAGCAAAAAAAAGGAAAAATGCAACTTTGAGGTACACCCAAAGATATATAATTTCTGAACGACTGGAAGCAATCGTTCTTTTTTATTTTGCTTTGCTAAAACCTGAGTTCTGCCACTAATTCTGAGAAGCTGACTTTCAGGGCTCCAAGAAATTGAAACTGGTTCAGAGAAAGGTAACAAAAATGTTAGGCATACTATAAACCAGGGGTTCTCAACTTCGGCAACTTTAAGACTTGTGGACTTCAACTCCCAAAGCTGGCTGAGGAATTCTGGGAGTTGAAGTCCACAAGTCTTAAAGTTGCCAAGGTTGAGAATCCCTGCATAAACAAAGACATATGAAAAGAAATTGAAGCAGCTGCCTTCTTTGGCCTTGAGTACAGGACTGAAGGAGGATATAATGTCTTCAGATACCTGAAAGGATATCATACAGGCATGTTTTCTCATTTCAAAGGGAAGGATCCCAAACAATGGATTTAAATGACAGGAAAGGAGATTCTGGTTGAAGGTTTAAAAAGATTTCTGAAGTAAAAATAGTTTGACAGAAGAACTAATTACCCAGATAAATAGTGAGCTCCATTTTATTGTGGAAGCTCAACAGACAATCCTTCAGTTTGTCTTCTTGAATTGGACAGAGGCTGTGCTCAGGGGTCTAATGTCTAATTCTATGATTCTGTTCTGAGAAATTCATCCTAGATTTTATTGGTGCTTATCAGACTTCCTGGCTCTCATTTTCAAATGCTTCTGATGAAAACAAAAATAAATTGAAAGCCAATGCATGGCAAAACAAAGGCTCTTCTGTCAGCATATGCTGCAGTTCTTGGAGATATTCTAAGGAAAAACAGCTTTATCTGGAAGTATTTGCTCCTGTCCAGGTGAAAAAAAAATAAAAAAAATAGACAAGTATTAATGGTGGGGATAAACTTTATTAGTTTGCTCTATGTCTAACAGTGTACTGATATCCTTACTGCCAGTATTTTATGTTCTTACAATTCCAAACATGTCCCCCAGCTTACAGTACTGGGGATTTCTGTCCTAGACCATGCAACATAGTAAAATAGAACTTTAAATTTTTTTCCCAGTTAGGAGCTTTTGTTCCTTAAGACCTTGCAAAAATGAATGGCTCTGCCAGAATGCATGGCCAATGCAGAACAGACACCTTTTGACGGTTCATGGTTCACATGGAGAAGAAACCTGGCTTTGCCATGGTATAAGTGATAACCCAGAAGAAACCACATCTTGTCCAATCAGTTCATTACAGCAGACTCCTTACTGGGAAATGCTGCTGACAGCGCTGACCTAAGTAGTTGCTAGGGCACCTGTATTTCTTTTCATATTGTGCAGGTGTACATGTAATTATCTGGCTGTTACTACAGAGGAGATGTGGACTGTGAGCAACAAGGTGGTCTCTCTTCCCTGCTTGCTAAGAAAATTCAAGTGCAATAATCAAAACATTCGGTTTACACTCACGATAATGGGAATACAGTTTGCCCTGGAGAGGATCTGCTTGATCAAGCGGTATCTGTCGTAGAGGGGCTTCATCGTTTGCCGTTCATGTTTTGTTACCTGAAAAGGAGAAAATTGCCTGAATTTTGGTGTTGGTGATAGGTAGGTAGGTTTTGCTAAAGCAATAGCAATAGCACTTATATACCGCTTCACAGTGCTTCATAGCCCTCTCTAAGTGGTTTACAAAGTCAGCCTATTGCCCCCAACAATCTGGGTCTCATTTTACCGACCTCAGAAGGATGGAAGGCTGAGTCAACCTTGAGCTGGTGAGAATCGAACTACTGAATGGCAGGCAGCTGGCAGTCAGCAAAATTAGCCTGCGGTACTGCATTCTATCCACTGCGCCACCACGGCTCATACCCATATCTGGGTATGGGTTGCAAAAGTCTTGGAAGTTGCCGGATTTCAGCAAAGAGAACTATTTACTGCTAGTAATCATTCACATTTTTACAGCACAGACTCTGTTTTCTATGGAATCTCTTGGGAAAGAAAGGGATAATCTACTTTCTATTATCCCCTTATGTAGGGTAGAGCTGGGCACGAGAGCTCCTGATAAGGAATGAAATGGTATAAAACCAAACGTAATGGCATTATACTAGCTCTTAGCACCCTTTCTTTCCTATTATGTCACCAGACTTGATTTCTATGTAATTGTTTGCCCCTATTATTATTTGCTAAGTAAGATCTATATATGCATGGTATCAGATGTGGAATTTAAGTAACACAACTGCAACAATACAGAATCGTACTTTAAATTTTTGCATTTATCATCATCATAGTTATCAGTTTAAATGGAAATTTTTATCATTCAGGTCTGCAGTTCTAAACCGTTTCATTTTTATTAATTCCTTGAAAAGGAAAATAACCTTGTTATCTTTCATATCCAAGCTCAAGATCTGGTCCTGAATCTCTTTTTATCTAAACACTTTGCAATGATTATAATTACTGGACAGATTAATACCTAGCCACTCATCATCATTTCTGTCTTGCTATTTTTCTGTGCATAGTTCAAAGAACAGGGGACATGTTCTCACATTTAACAACTGGACATTTGCATTTACCCAAATGCTGAGCCCATTTGGTATAAAAATTACTATACTTACAGGTCTTCCATGGATGCTTTCATAATAGAGGAGGGATTTTTGAAGGGCTACTTTCTCTGATGCTATCTCATCTCGAGTCATATCCTGGGTACAGGAAGAACAGACAAAAAAGTAGAGAAACAGTGTTATACAGTATGTTGTTTATACTGCTGTTTCCCATCCCCAAGTTTTTTATTTGCTAATCAGTGGCTATCTTGAGTCTATTTTAAACTGTTCCTTTATCTCTGTACATCCCCTAGAATGGCTTCTCCACTGAGGCAGCTAATAATAAATTAAATGCAATTAATCAATATATTAATCAATACGCACAGAATTCTGTATGGACTGGTGTTATTGGTAGCTTTTCTTTTTCTTTTTTGTTAGGTCTAAGGATGTGAACAAAATTCTTTGAAAAATGTGGTTTCCTGACCAGGACTTTCAAGAAGAAGGTCAAGAAAAGGATGGGTGGGTCAGTGAAAATAAGTGATAAATCTCTTGTAAGAATATTTTAGCTCTTCTGAAAGAAACAATATATGAGGATTGAGACTTGGGCCTGCAGGATATCTGCCTTATTAATTCTCAATATATTGACAATTTCCTATACTATTATATTTTGACTGCTTTCTTGAGAGATGGATTAGAGCAGGAGATACTTAATATGAATGTTGGATAGTTGGTTCTAGAAGATGAGATTCAGTAACTACAGTACTTGTCAAATTGAAAGGCAAACATCAGAATGTTGTAATGTCAAGTACTGAATTTGGCAAGCAACATGGATAAAAGTCAATAAAAAAGGCTTAATAGATGAAAAGTTGATGATGTTGCTTGGCTGTCCTTTTGCCCTAGACTGCAATGTTTATGTTGTCCAGACGGACAGCACTCCCTTTGGAAGACTAGTCCTGCATCTTCAATTATTTAGCTCAGTGGTCTCTGTGGCATGAAACATCTTCCATTAGCTTAGACTGGTGGGCATCTACTGAGCAGAAAAATCAGTCATACATTTATTTACTGGATTTATATAACTGTCCCACATATATGACTTGGAATAGCTTACAATAAAAATGGATAGAAGACATACACCACAAAAAAATAAAAACACGCAGTAATCTGGAACCGTAAACAACCAAACTTCCACTTAAATTACTACATGCCAAGCTACTTTAGAAGACCGCTGGAAAACTAAGCTAGTAATTTAATAGTTCTTTTTTGAAGTAATTAGGCATATGTGATAGTCCTTCACAAAATTGAGACACATTTCTGGGAACAACTGAGAATGCTGATGCTGTTTTTAATTCCCCTTAATCATGTATGATAAGAATAGCTGATGGTAGCCTTGAGGACATAGAGTGGTGACAGGACCTAGCCCTATTCTTTCCTTCCTGTGGGCTCAGCAAAAGGTAAGAGATTGTATTAAAGATCGGAAAGAAATTTGTAACTGCAGCAGTGATACTGCCTTCAACCCATCAGTATTTATAGTATAGCCAAGGTCATTTTTATTGTTTGGAAACAAAACCCTAGGAGATCTGCCAAAGATCATCTTCCTACCCTTAACAAAATAATTGAGAGCAGTACAATCATTGACACTGTAGTTCTCAAATATGTATTGTAGACCTTCAAATAACCATTTACTCTATAACGCCTACAGAAATCTATTTAGGTTACATTCAACATTTCTATGAAACCTTTTGAAGATGACAATGCTTAGGCTGAAAGATTGAATCACAAATTAAGTGCAGAACAGCATAGTCCATTCCTGAAATGGAATCTGAATGTTCTTCCATGAATCTTCCAGGACAGAAAGAGGCTCACGGGGTTCCAAATAAATGGATTTCAAGAACAGATGTTGTCTAAAACTCTACAGAAACTTTCTGTTTTGGGCAAACTGCTGCCACTTTGGGAGAAAAAAATGGAACACACTGGGACCATACTACAGTTTTGCATCACTTAACTGGGACCTTTTGCAAACAATCTGTATGATTTAGAAGAAATATCCTTCAATATCCTTTATTCACCCTCTCACACTAGAACTTTATGCTATTCCATAGAGATACCACAAACAGCCTTAATATAATTCTAAATTGGCATTTTTTAATTAGCACCTCAATCATCTCCACTTCAGGATCTTAATAATTGTGCAGGATTTTTTTAATTATTATTTTTTCTTGCTCTTTTCTTAAGTGTACCTTAATGTCCTCAGGTCGACTTGCTTCTGCCCTTTTCTCTTGGAGCTTCTTCTGCATGGATTCCAAAGTTGCCTCCACTGAAGGCTTAGATGATTTATCAGAAACCTCTTGCTTTTCTTCCTCCTTCTCCAGCTGAGAGCCAAAACTTTTGGGGAGTGTATTGCTACGTTGGCGAGTCATAGGAGCCAGATCTTCTTCTGACATTTTCAGTTTTGATTCTAGTTTTGGGCAAGGAAGGGAAAAAAGTATTTTTAATGATAGGCAACAAAAAGAAAATGCAGGTAAGTCCAACTCTAAACAAGGAAGTGTCGCCAGATTAATTCTCACCTTTTAGTTGCTTTCTAAACTTTGCAAGGTCATTTGTCCATTTCAGCACCTCGAGATTGGCTGCTTTGTCACTGTGAGAGGGCTGTCCAAGAGGGGGAAGCAAATAGGAACAAAGGATTTTTGTCAATGAAGGAACTGAAACCAAGGCTTGTAAATAAACACATTTATTCCAGCACTTTCCAAAATTTCCCAAAAGATGGGCAGATTTCCCAAAATACACCCCTCCAGAGGGTTTCTTTAATACGATTAAATATATAATAATTAATATAAAGACGTTCTTGAGTTTTCTGAGGTATATATTAAAGGTATATATTAGTTTTTTAAAAAACAAAGAAAGTTCATTGCTTTATGCACTCTCTAAAACACACTGTAAATAAAATGAACAGGTGTCTATTGCACATACACTTTCTAGATCATCTGCAGAGATTAACAGCTTGATCAAATACATCTTTTACTTAGATATGAATTATTTGTTGAGCTCAGTGGGCTTTTTCCCAATGGGTTAAAAAAGAATGGCTACTTAATAATAAGTCAGTTGTTTCCTCTGTTAGATAATCAGCTTAATGATTATGCTGTTTAGGTAAATCACATTTGGGTAACTGGGAAAGAAATTAAAATCTGAGAAGTGCTGTTTGACTGAAGGAAAAGTTTTCATCAGCTTACTCTATACTTTCTCTCTTCCTCAAATTTTTCTTCATACCGCCTGATCTTTTTCTTCAGTCCTTGAATCCTGCGAGTCAACTGTGCTGGTGTCAAATCTTCACTGTCATCTTCATAAGATCCCAAAGAAGAACTTCTTCGCCTAGAATGAAAGTCATGCCATTATGTTCAATTAATTTGTATACATTCAATGACATGAAAAGAGGATCCTGTAAAAAGAGAAATCCCAGAAAACATTAACTGCTGATGTATACGTTTTCTGAGGTTTTTGCGGGTGTTTGTATGTAGGTCTTTGGTTATTCGGGTTTTCTCTCAAATTGGAAGTGTCTTGGTGACGTTTCCAATGGGACTTCGTTGAAACGTTGCCAAGACACTTCCAATTTGACGCGGGAGAAAACCCGAATAACCAAAGACCTACATATATACATCTACATATACATACATACACACACACACACACACGTGTGTGCGCACACCCACCAATGCTGTTTATTGAGTAGAAGTTGGATGTTTGATTCCAAATGGCTTGTTTTTGCCTCCTTTGCTATCACTATATTATTACATTTTGTTCCATGACTTAAAACTGAGATTACCTATCAAGATGGCAGTTGAGATCATAGATTTAATGTATTTTTTAAAGATTATCAATGATATTCTTTGCTTTTAAAACCTAGTTTATATGCATAGCAAAATAAAATGGTACAATCAGGAAATAGGATACAATATTCCACGTTGGTGGAGAAATAGTTTCAACCCATCACCTGCAAAACATTTTCTTAACAAAATCCCAGCTTTGTATTTTTATAGTTCCTCTTTTCTCCCCTGTAGGATTTTATATTTACATAATTAAACATTCCCAAATGTGGACCCACCTTTCTTTTTCCTTCCACAATCTGAGCTAGAGCAAAATATGAAGGAACATGGGAGATCTTTAAAATAAAACCGACAAGAACAAACTCTCTTCTAACTCACAGAGAATTCTGAATTGCAGACTGAGTTATGTTCAAAAACCTATCATACTGAGTATCTGCTAAAAATGGAAAGCAGCATGATGGGAAGGAGTTTAGGCTCAGCTGGAAGAAATGGAAGACGGGAATTCTGGAGCAGTTCGGTAAGGAAGATAAAGTCCTACCCAAGTAATGTCTGTGCTGAATGCTGCAGCCAACCTACCTCATGAATGAATGAGAATTGGGTGGGGAAGGAGGCACTTCTGTGTCATCCAAGTACTGCTGACTTTGCCCATAGTTATAAAAGCGAGGGGACAGCAATGGGTCACTGTCTTCATCCAGAAGCTGCTGAATGAGGCGTCCAGCCTTAGGGGAAAGGTGAGCTTCATCAGAATCTACATCATTACGCTGCCAGGAGGAAAAGGCAGGGACAGGTTCTGGAAAACAGAGGACAGGAACAACAATTGGGAGCTTAGTTTGCAATTGTTTTTAATTTGATTATAAATACTCAGTGACTCTAAGTCTCTAGCTCAGAGGTCTCCAAATTAAGACTTGTGGACTTCAACTCCCAGAATTCCTCAGCTTCTGGGAATTGAAGTCCACAAGTCTTAAAGTTGCCAAGTTTGAAGATCCCTGCTCTAGCTACTGCACATAATTAAACTTTTAATACTGTAGAAATCATCATCATTAAAATTCAGCAAACAAACTAAGGTACCAATTAAAAAACAAACAAACAGCACAACAAACAAGTCATTAAGAATTCAAACTATCTTGCAGGTTATACCCCAGTGACCCCAAAGGAAGCTCACTTACCATCCAACGATAGATGGAAAAATGTTCATTGACTTCCTTAATACCAGCAAGGTTTAGATAACTTTTCTATTTGAGCCATAGATTATTTAGAGAAAAGTTAAAGTCTTTTTTTCAGATAAATAAAGTCATACTTTTAAAATGCTTGAGAGAACAATTGTAACAAAGGTTCCTCACTAAAAAGATGTGATGATTACTTTTCTAAATGAGTATTTCAACGCTGGAGGACAGCTGTTTCAGAACAAATCTCTGGATTTAGATTGAAGAAAGAGATTCTACTGATGACCTTAAGCTAAGCACAGGGCAGGTGTTGAATTAGTTATGAAGGTCACACTCTGCAGAGGTTAACTAATACAGTAATTTGAATTGGCCATAAACACACTGGAAGAAAATAAATGCAAGAAAGCTATTGTAAGAGCCTATTAAGCTCTTAATTTTGCATTCGTTGAAAGTTTCCAAGTCAAAAACATTGTATAACTCCAACAGTTTCCTTAAATACTATCTATTAATGTAAATTGGGTGCTACTTGTTAGTTCTGGCTCCTTGATAGAGTTAGAAATCAAGGAACATTGTAAGTCAAAGAAGTCAGTTATTTTCAAGGGCAGCAACCAGACTGCAGATAGTTTGGTAGTTATGATATTTATGTTCGCTTTGCAACCTATGTGCCCTTTCGCTACTTTTTCAAAATTCTAGAATATATCTAAACAGCAAAGACTTGTGAGAACTATATTTGGTCAAAGGGAAGGCATTTTACATGAACCATTTTTATAACTGCTGAAATTTCTGCACTTCAGAAGTCAAAAGAATGTTTATGAGCTTGCAGAGCATTCCCATGGGATATACTAGGAGTTAACAGGGTCTGGAAGGAAATACTATTTTGGATTCTCCCACAGCGTGTTCTCACCACTTTGCAACATAGTACTGCCAAATCTACTCCTTCATAAAGCAACTTCCAAAACAGAAACCACTTCCAAAAGCTCCAGGACTTGGTCTTTCTTTGCTTTTTAGATTTTAGATATTAACATCAACATGCCATGAGGTTTGATAATCTAGTGGAATGTTGGTTATTTTTTTAAAAACTAAAATTATTATATTTTGGAATTTTGCAGATGCCATCAGGGGACTTGTGTGTCATAGTGCCTGCAGATGTTGCAATGTAGACTCCTGGCTTATAGGTGCTCCTCAAAAAAATCCTCTGTGATGATGTAATGAGCCACATAAATGAAAAGGCAGGGAACTTCTTTTTAAAAGAAAATCAGAAACAATCACACCATAGCTTCTGAATGGATATAGGTGCAAAATTTGTAATTACAATTATTTATAATTATAAGCAAAAGACCTCTGTATGAATTAAGTCCTTCGTTTAGTCTGCAGAAATGCTAGATAAATGCCATATATCATGGTTTAGAAAAAGGCAGACAAAAAAATCCAGAAAGACCAGTAGCGTGTATTTGTCAATATGCAGTATAAAGCAGTTTTATATTATAACTTTTAAGAATCTATAGGAATACTAAGACTCCTCAAATTGTTGGGACCACTAAAGGTTTGGCCTTGTATTAGTCTTTCTACACCCTCAAAGATGAAGGCTGCTCTGCATGATCTAACTCTTCTGCTTTCTATTATGACATCATCAAATCTTATTCTACCAATGCATCTGTAACCAGGCACTGGTTACTTTCAGATGAGCAGGTAAGAGAATTTATCCAACATTAATTTATCCAATATGTTTCCCTTTTCAATTTGCTTTTGTAAATTACAAGCTGTAACTATTCAGATTCAACTCATCCCATTTTTACTTAACAGAACTTAATTTCAAAGTATTATCAGAAAGTAATAATTATTTCAATTCTTTCATTTTGCTTAATTGACCAAATTTAAAGTACAGGTTACAGGGGAGATGAGAGAGTAGGAAAACTAGAATGGAAAGTTAGGGAAAACAGTGTTTTGGAAGAAACTGAAAGAAATGGTCATACCTTGTGATAATTCCCACTGTATCCTACAATACCTCTTATCTACAAGTTGACATTTTACTAAGCTGGTTTGCATGCTCCTACTTAAGATTAATTGGTTTACAATTTGTGGCCCTCTGATTCCAAATAAGAATTATGGAGGCAATGAAGAAAAAATTCCCAATAAATAGATTAGAAATAAAGAACTGGTGTAAAAGCTCTTTTTAGAGCTTTAAAAGCAGAAAAAGCATATGAAGGTGCTTAGTTTTGATCATGCACAAGCCAGCAACCAATCCTTACATTCCTAAAACTCACTCCAAAATCACTGTCTGCCAACTTTTTCTTGTAAGATTACTGATGTTTTGGCCGGGATATTCAGAAAAATCTAGGAATGAGTAGAAATTTTCCAGATCCATACCAATATAACACGATAATATTACCCCATGAATAAAACTTCCTGAATGAAAAAAATCAGCATGTCAAGAATGATCGGCCAGGTCTGCTTCAATGTAGGGAGTTATGCTGTCGATATCAAGACTGAAAAATACTCAAGTGTCCAAATCTCTTCTTACAACCTTAGGTTGCCTGGTTTGAAGAATAGAATAGAATATCAGAGTTGGAAGTGACCTTGGAGGTCTTCTAGTCCAACCTATACCATTTCAGAAAAAATATAATTGTTCAATTTTTATGGATGGGTTAAGCCAGCCTAAAATACTTACTGCCAATAACCTTGTGTAGCATTTTAATACGCCATCAGGAATAGAACTAAATCAGATGGCTATCAAAATTAAGATATTAGTTAAAATTTGGGAGGAGCTCAATAGTTTGCCATATTAGTTATCATCTGCTCTTCACTCTATGCTCAACTGCAAGCTCTTTTTTTTTTCCCCTAGATTTTGAGTTGGCATTCCGCAAACAAAGAACCATTATGTCTCAAAGATTCCATAGGTCCAGCATTTCCTCATTTGTCTCTCTTCTACATGACGGAGATACAAGGCTTCTGGGCAAAAGTATGAAACGGACAATATTGAGGACGAAGGAAAGATAGTGGACATCTTCCATGAAAATGAGTCACAACACAAGCAGGGAAGAATTTGATCTGGATGAATTTATTCTTAAAAAGTACAGAACAGAGGATTTGGGCAATAGTTTATAACTGTGAAATAGGATTAAAAAAAGAATGATATAAACTTCCTGTTCAAGGAACTGATCTTCAAGTACCAGATGCTTGGTGGAAATCATTAATGATGGTTGATTCCACAAAGCTCTGCTTTAGAGTTTGTGGGAGATATCTCTTTGTTACATACAGATTGGACTTTTTAAAATTTGATTCAACAGGGTAACATTTAGTTGCTTATTCTTATAAAATATGCCAGCAGAGGCAAACCAAATAAATCATTCTTATCATTTCTTCTGTTCAAATATGACAGCAATTTTGTTTTACCATATTTATTGTTGAGAAAAAACTTTCTTTAGGGGGGGAAACTTAGTAAGTATTTAAATTGGAACATGAGAAATATAATTAACTAAATAACATATTTAGAATGAAAGCAACAGTAAAAAATAATTCCCGCTTACAGAATAAAGATGGGGATCTATTGATTTAAAAGTAAAGTAGGACATCATGTTCTTTAAGTCCTATTTAACTTCAGGAAAAATAAAATTTGAAGGAAGGGTATTTTGCTAGAATTGAGATATCACAGAGAAGGCCCTGTTTCTTGAGATCACTAACTTAATATATCTTTCTGGCAAGCACATCAGAAATGTGCAAGCACCACTACTACGTCTTAAAACAAACCCTCAACCCTTATACAGTAATTCTTTTTTGTTTTGTTACCTGTTATTTATAAGAACAAGTAACTGGAGAAAAATGGAAGAGATTGTAAAAACAAAATAAAACAAAAAACACTCTGCTGAAAAGTTAAATTGGTGCCATCTGCTATTTATTCTTATACAGCGCCGTGTAGGTGGTTATTACAGTGTTAACTTTTGCAATCAAAATGTTCCAGAAAGTGTCAATATTAACAGTGTTGAAGGCATTAAGAGCGTGTGAGGTAATACAGCACAAATTCAGAGGACCGAAAGAGTTCCTGTCAACTAAGAAAACTATGCCACTGATCACAAGTCCTCCTCTTGGATATACTTAATTTGTGAATATCTAAAATATTACACACAGAGATGACATCTGTGTCATAAAATGCCTCAAGAATATAACAAATCATATTGCTGGCATAAATTAAAGCTAACAAAGAATACTTGCATAAATTAAAACTAGCACACAAACGAGCAAAATGGTAAAATAGTTTGGGGTAAGTATTGATTTTATCTTTTTCAAGAATATTTATGTCTACTTCCAAACTTCCCTAATATTATAATTCCTCAAAATGAAGTACTTTGGAAGATATTTACTCATTTGTAGGAAGATTAAAAGAGGATATTATGATAGCATTCTTCAAGCATATGAACAGTTGTCACAAGAAAAAGGCCTTAATCTTAATAATCACAAAATGTAGGGCACAGAATAACGGCCTGAAGACAGAACAGAAAATTGCCTCTAGGAGCATTCATAATTTGTTATTGGGACCTGCCAAATATTCTCATTTGCTTGTATGAGAATAGTGCTGGAATCTGATCTCCTTAACTTTCATCTAAAAAAGTAAAAAGCGCTACACAATTCTATTTTTTACATTAAGCAAGTGTTTCAGCAAATGGACTATCAGTATCAATAATTACTTACTAATTTTCCATTTTCACTTCTTTGAATTCAGAAAGTGTCCAAGATAGTATTAATTTAGTAGAAAACGGACAAACTTACAATGTAGAATATTCACATTGCTGGCCTAAGCCAGTGTATCTTAACCTCAGCAACTTTCAGATGTATGGACTTCAATTCCCAGAATTTAAGTGTACGTATCTTAAAGTTGCTGAGGTTGAGAACCAGGGGTCTAGGTCAGTGATGGCCAATCTTTTAGAGACTGAGTGCCCAAACTGCAACCCAAAACCCACTTATGCATCGTCGGGTGCCGGGTGGGTGTGGCCCATTGGCTGGGTGTGGCCCATTGGCTGGGCATGGCTGCGGTGGTAACAACAGACTGGGTGGGACTAAAAAGTTCAATCAATCAATTCCAACTTTGCAAGATCTTTTTTCCTGTGAGAAGTTGAAATTGACTGATTGATTGAACCTTTTCTTTTTTGTACACGGCGGCAGAAGCCTAAAGCGAAAAGGTTTTATAAAACCCAGCTGAAGGCATAGGACTGCGGCAACAGCGCGTGTGCCCACAGAGAGGGCTCTGAGTGCCGCCTCTGGCACCCGTGCCATAGGTTTGCCACTACTAGTCTAGGTAATCCTATCCCAACCCTGTTTAATTATCCATGATTCAGATTAGGGACAATCCATACTACTGTATAGACTGTAGACAAGACAATGAGTACATGTGGCTAAATCAAATACTTCGAAATCTCTTCACCTACCTAACAATTGAACATGAGTATCATGATTTGTCAATCCTTGGTTCGTGATTACAAAATAGTCAGATGAGATTATAACAGACGCCTCCAATGTCCACTGACCTCTCTTTCACATGATTTTGTTCTATTTTATTTTATTTTAATTTATATATCATATTCAGAAACTGGCCATCTTCCTCAAAGAGAGACTCTGGGTAGTGTATGAATTCTAATCATAAATATCCCAAACAACTAGCAGCACATTTCAGAAGTAAAACTGTATTCCTTGCTTTCACTTCCAAAATGTCCTAAAGTGGAATTTGCATCAAGCAAGGCAATGATTTCAAGAGATTAAGAGAAAAAAACATCCATTCTGCAGTCTTTCCAAATTCTTGAAAAAAATAAGAAAAAAAAAAGTTCTCATTTCATCCCTGACTGCTAAAATCACAGGGAAAGTATGCAACTTTATTCAGATTACCTTTGCAAATATAACAACAAAATGATTCGTTTTTGAGCAGAATAATTAGAATATATAAGGAAAAAAATATGGCTGGAGCATTCTTTAGATCTAAAGGAAGAGCATCTAATATATTATCAAACTGTAAAAAGAAAGTTATATCATCTCGTATATTCCATCACAAATACCCACAGCAGCTGATACTGCAGGTTTGCTTATCAACTAGTATATTGCCGAGGTGGCACAGCAGTTAGAGTGCAGTACTGCAGGCCACTTTAGCTGACTGTGTTCAGCAGGTCAGCAGTTTAAATCTCACCGGCTCAAGGTTGACTCAGCCTTCCATCCTTCTGAGGTAGGTAAAATGAGGACCCAGATTGTTGGGGGCAATGTAAAAATATATATACATTGCTTACTAGTGTACACCGCTTAGAGAGTGTTTGCACTTAAAGCGGTATATAAGTCTCATAAATAAATAAATAAATAAATATTTGAGCCTGCTTTAAGATTCTGGACTGATACAAAAATAGCATGTGGACACAACTTGGCATCAGTTCCAAAGGCTTTGGTCCAGATAGACAGATACACTGAACATTTCCACTGAGTCACAGAATGTAAGAGTTGGAAGGGATCACATACATCATCCAACTCTCTATCCTTGCTAGCTGTGGAATTCTGGGAGATGAAGTCGATTTATCTTCAAGTTGCCAAAGTTGATATATACAGTTCTTCCTAGTGAAAGGAACTGCTATTAAAGAACAAACTTTTTCAGTCCCACCCTAAATACCCAAATCCAAAAATGCAGTAAAACAATGTCCTTAAGCACTTGAAAAAAAAGGACACTAGGCTCTCTAGAGCAGGGCTTTTCAACCTTTTCAGAGATTGTACCGCTTTTAGGATATGGCAATATTCGAGCACCACCAGTTGCCTAGCAGGTGGGTGTGGCCTGCTCGGCGCCACTCACTGGACACAGCTGACTCGAGACAGCTGGGTCAGAACGGAACAAGTCGCACTGGCTACCTCGATGTGGGGACAACTCGGTGCCCCGCAAACTCCTCGCCTCCCCAAACCGCTAGTAGCCAAGCGCATGTGCATGCGCACAAACGCACACACACCGCATTCCAGGTTTGGGGACAGGTTTATCCACAGAGGAAGGAGAGGGCCTTCTCCCCAAGCCCAGGCATGATTGGCAATTTGCTAACTCAGATGTGGATACAAGTCTCCAAACTTGGAATGTTTGTGTGTGTGTGTGTGTGTGTAGCATGCCAAAGAGATATTCTTTTCCCAATCCCGGACATCATTGGTGTTTCTCTCTCTGTTACTCCCTCCCGGCAAAGCAGGAGGTGGAGGACGTTTGCAGGAAGCAGTTTCCTCCGAGTCCAACTTCTGTCTTGACCGATCTCTGGAGAACAAGAGGAGGCGGTAGGAGAGCAGCGCTCCCGGGTCCTGCACAAGGGAATTCCCATTTTCAATCGTGCATGGTAAGAATGCTGGCTTGTTGGGGCAGCCTTCCCTCACACAGCTGCCCTGCCACCCCCTCCTCCTCTCCAGAGATCTGCAGGGGAGACAGAGATCTGGAGGGCAAGGTGCAGCCTCCATATTGGCCACTTCTACTTCTCCAAGCCCTCCTCAATTAAACATATATTATATATAAATTAACACACAGCCAAAAAGAAAACATCACTAATTACGGCTCTTCACATATTTTCTGGAAAAACCTCCTTTACTGATGTTAGGAAGGAAGAGCAAACCTTATTAAGGAACTCTTAACAGGAAGGGAATTGAAGACCCCAAAAGGTCTCGTTCTTTCTAGTCTGCCTTCCCTTTGAGCCTTTAGTTCTCATTATTTTATTATTATGCATTTAAGAAGAAGATCAAAGGCCTCCATAGCTCGGGATACTCACCTTACAATCAGAAGCCAGAAAAATTTAGTTAATCCACAATACCGCCCTATAAAGAATGAAGATAATCTTTGGGCCCTGAGAGCATGCAGGTGTCCAGTCAGAATATTAGTGGCACACCTGTCAGCAACTGGAAGTGCATAAGTCCATGTACTTCCCTTTCCTATCTCACAACTCAGTCGATACATCCTTTAATTTTCAGACACATCTTTTTCTCATAAGCTCCTTAAAAAACCAACAAAGTATACTGTAATTAGCAGGAAAAATAAATCTAGCACTCCTGAATTCTTTCCCCAAGGGGGAAAGGAAAGTTCACAACCAGCAGGTGCTAGCAAAGTCGTCAAAAAATGTAGTTATTGATGCTAAAGACAAGAATTAATAACAAATCAATTTTGCAGCTCTCTCCTGTCACTACATCCTCTTACTCCAGAAAGGGGCCTGGGATTGCACAAGGGGCTAGGCTAAAATCCGGTTGAGTAGTTTGCAGCCAGGTGTTCAGTACAGACCTTGCCAGTGTGATTTTAATAGCCCAGGAAGGGATAGGAAACCCTAGGAAAACTTTGCAATCAATAAAGCATGATGGACTACACTTGTTTTGCCCTCTTTTGATTCTGCTCCCCAGCAGCAGCCCATCGATTTCAGAACTGCATGGCCACAAAGATAGAGGCCTTCAGCCTCCCAATCCCTGCTTAGAGAGGGATTTGAATTTCAGCCAAGGTCAGGCCATATGCCCCCAATCAAAGGAAAAATCTGAATCCAGCGGGCCAGAAGGCAGCCCAGCCACCACGCCCCTCTGGTTCCTTTTTCTCACTCCCTGGGCTGCAGCTTGTCAGCGGCACTCAAGGGCTGCCCAACTTTACTCCGGGATTTTGGGGTTAGAAAGTGGAGGGGCAGTGCCGCGTTTACAGGGCTGGCGGCACCTGCTGGAAACCCTCCTGCTTCCCCCCCCCCTCCCTGCAGCTACCTCCTTCGGAGCTGTCCTGATTCCTATGGGCCTGCCGGCATAGATCCGCCAGCTTCGTCCTGCAAAGTGTGGCTCACCCAGCGCTCCTGCTCGCTGACAGGCCTGTCGGAATCAGGATGGCTTTGAAGGAGTGTTAGAATTGCCAATGCTAAATATCTCTGCTACATAGAAAAAGAAATCAGACCATTTACATTGGATAAATCAATGATTTTAAGATCCTTAAAAAGATGGTGGGGAGAATTCTCTTAACTGAATCACATTTTAGATGGGAATAGATTTTTAAAAATTAGATAGTTAAGTAGGGATATAAAAACAACAACTTAAGCAAGCTTTCATTCCCTCAGAGAATATATATGTATTATCTGAACCTAAGGACAAATATGCTTCCCACAGAAGGATTTGTTAAGGTATCTTTTAGCTGATTTGCCTTTAAACCTCAAAATGCTAGCAATCAATTGAATAGGACAGATAAAAGACAAAAACATTTCTTTTTCTTTTTCTCTGTGTTATGTTCCTGAAAAGAATGCCCAATGGCATCTTTTCCAGCAAAAGCTCAGCTCTTGTACTGAAATAGTTTATTACTTTCTACAGATTAGCTTTCCCCAGTTCAGTGTTCTTCAGACGTGTAATTCAATAGACGTGTGGATTGAGAAGCTACTATTGAAGATATCTGAATAATAAGAGGCTGGGGAAAACTGTCACAAATTATCACAGACACAAGAGGGAAAATCAGAGAGAGAAGTAAAAAAAATGCAGTCCTTCTGAAATTCATGCTCAACAAGCAATCCTACCTTCCCAGTTGTCACTGCACAAACTCGACAAGTCCAGACGAGGCACTTCCGATATGAAAGTGTCTTCCTCGGCGTCAATTTCTGGGCTCCTCTGTAATCTGACTTCAGGAACGCCTGGATGCTCCTGGATTTTCATACTTGAGCTCTGTAGCAAATCCCCCCAAAGGAAAAAAACAAAAACCTTTTGCAAACTTCAGCATAAATGGAAAGTACAAATGTAAACAATCACACGAGCGCAAAAACCAAAGCAGCCTTTTTTCCCTTCTGTAGACAAACTGAAAAATGGGAGGCTTTGAGTATCCAGCCTTTTCCCCAATTGCTGCCTTCAATACTCATGGATCACTTACACTAGTTTTTTTTTTAAAAAAAAACTAAAATCAAAACTTTTGTTCCAAAAACCTTCTGGACTATAGAAGCAGAGTAAGCAGCTCAGAAGTTGCTTCTTTCCAACTGAGTAAGCTATCGGTAGAGTTAATACTTGAATGGCTTGAAAAGACAAAGCAGTGAAAACAAAGACTTTCCCCTTAAAGTTCTGACTTCTCGGTTTCCAAAAATGCATCACCTAAGAGGCTGCTGTTGCTAAGGCTACAGTGCAACCTGGAAATTGAGGATACTCCAGTCTTCCTTCTTCCTGCAAAGACTCTCCAGCAAACTGTGCTGCGGTATAGCTCTCCGAATGCTAGCACGAGTTGGGCTGGCTGGCTGCACGTCCTTGGCTTCCTGTGGTTGTTTTCTAGCTGGGTGTGGGGAAAGCAGACCTATTTATGGAGGAGCTCTGGGATATTACAAGCTGCTATTGCGCAAACTGAAATCATAACGGGCTTTGGCATTTAATAACTGGAAGGGGTAGGGGCCCTGCAGAGTAAGCCACACAGCAGAAATGCTTTACATTCTAACAAATCTTCATTCTCTCTCCCTCCCACAATCCCCAACCTTAAGCAAGAAACTGCTGAGGAGATGATCTATAATGTACGCTGGAAGAAAGAAACGAAAGCATTTTGCATGGTGCCCACTCACCAGATACCCGATATGTCCTGTGTGTCTGGGTAGATTAAACTCATTGCCCTCTTGTTACTGGCTTTGCACACTTAACCTGTCTGACTTTATGTTCTGGGCATAACAGCGCACTCAATTTCTTTTGCAAAATGAAGAGAAATTTAATCCAAAGGGACTCTCAGAGGAACACGCCTGATGTAAGCAAACATACCAAGTCTTTACTTGTAACTTGGGAAGAAAGAGGCAGGGAAGGAAAATGGCAAAGAGAGACTTGGAGACTTCTTTTTTTTTTCTCCATACAATTAGAAAGAACAGAAATACTGGGGGAAAGAGTTAAAGCAGGTTAACAGGCACTATTGTAAAAACATGACTGGCTCACAAAGGTACCAGCCGATTTTTACCTGTGATTTATTTATTTAGAACAGTCAGAATCTATTTGTGCATCTGAAACTCTGTGTAAACTCCCTGCAGTTCTTTTTTCAGTATCTGCAGTGGGAACTGTTAAAATTAATCTGCTCTGGAATTTGCCAACATGCTGAATTAAAAGGACGGTGGGAAATAAACTGCTCTGTTGCTCTGTTGATTGTAATGCAAATAATCAGCACTGCTTTCAGATGGTTGTCAGGAAGTTCAAAAGCAAACAAAAACCAACAAGCTTGAGTAGCACAATTCTATATAAATTTATTCAGCCCCTTTATGCTCCCGAGTCTATATATTTATACATGCAGCCTAAGTATAAAATCTTGTCCACCCAGAGGGTGCAAAGGAAGCTGCAATAAATCTAAATTTCACTTTAGACCCATAAAACTACACAAGTTTAAGAAAGTTGCCTGAGTAGTCCAGTCGCCAGGAAAGTGACATACAAAATGCAAACAATCAAACCACAGATGTTCTAGAAACCTAAGGAATAATATATTTGTACTGCAGGCTTCATTCTGCCAAACCAGCTCGATGAAAAGAGATGAGAGAACAGATTCCACTCAGTATCCAAAATAGTCCCATTTTCTTTATGGAAAACATACTCCAATCTCAGAAAACGCAAATCAAGTTCAAAGTCAACATCCTCACAAACAACATAGCATTTTTTCTGTCTGTAGTTTTTCTGACATGCACACATTGTACCATTAACCACAATTTATTCAATAACCACAGTTGGCTGAATTCTTACAATACAATAAACAAAACATTAAGAACAAAGACTCCTGCTCTGCTAGATGAAGCCTATCACCCATTTTGTCCAACAGAAGCCCAGAAACACAAACAGGATGATCTTACTTTCCCTATTGCTCACTAGGAGCTTGTGTTTAAAGGATGCTACCTATAAACCCGGATGGAATACTCAGTTATCAAGCCTAATCAGTCCATTCAAGCTGATAGCCACACTATCTTGTATGATTCTCACCATAATTACTACAAAGACCACCATAGAAAAGATATCAGCTACAGAAAGAAAATAAAAGCACAGAACAGGGAAGGCAATGTTTTTATTGTGCAACTACCTTTCACCACTAGCAGAATGTCATAGGGATCTATAAGTGGATGTTATTTTCCAAAAAACAAAACAACAACAACAAAAAACTAATTCAGCAGGAGAAGCACAGGAATCAACTTCTAGAAAGGGACTAACGATCAGGTTTGCTAGAAGTAAAAGGAAGGAATATAAAATTGGTTTATTTGACCAAGGTTAAAATACATATGTTAAACTTTAATGGACTTTTTAATCACATTGGGACTGAAATGACAATGCTTTATGATCCAATTGTCCTTCTCATCCTCTTTTTAATAATTCTCCCAACTATCATTGGGGCTCCTGGACTGCTCCATTTTCTTCTGCCTGCATGATTGGAGTCTTGCTTGATGACCAGTTGACTTTGGTCCATTTACTGACTTTATTTGCATTTGATGAATATATGTAGCATCCAAGAGGATTTGGCAGAGAAGACTGCACCAAAATTAGTGTCTGCTTTGTTTCATGCCTAAATAGGGCAATAATCTCCTGACAGGTGTTCCTGATTCTTCTCTTCATCCCCTGATCTTAGTGAGGAATAGTGCTGTCTGGGCTCTGCCAGACCTTCCACATTATTCTCATCTTTCAATAACATGACAAGCTCTTCACTAGCTCTCTATCTGAGCCAGAACCCAATTTAAATTATTCTTGCTTGTGCTAAGTGACAAACTCTCCAATATCTGTTTGCCCTCATTTCTACCTACAATTTTGCTAATACTTTATGTTCCTTTCTGCAGAGCATTCTTGGTTCCTTATTCCAGAGTCACTGTCTCCCAATACCAGGCTTTTAGAGATCTGGCCTTGTGACTCGCTTCCTGCCTTTGACTTTGTACAAGCCATGCTAAATAAAGGAGGTTTAAAGACCTTTATATTTGATTAGCGGCTAATGTAGTCAGGGGGCTCCATTCTAGCTGATAGTTCCAAGATAACACTTCCTTTAAATTATCATGGATGTTTATATAGTCAATGCTATCCCACGATGCTATTTTATAAGTGTATTGCTTTCATGCTAGATGTTTTAATGTTAAGTTTTGCTTATTGGATTCCAAGTTAACTTTATTAGATTGATCTACAATTCATTATTCTGGTATTGTTATTCTATACTGTGCCTTGATAAAGGGCTAAATAAATAAATAATAATATTACTGCTAGTTTGCCTAACAGGAGAAGCATGTTTTCTCAAGCTGAAACACTTTTGACTGTTATAAACCCATCAATTGCATAACTTTTTATTTCCTTTTTTCTCAACACATATGTACAGCATTTGCTGCTCTACAAAATGAAGCATAAGAGATAAACATATTGCAACTTTAAAAAAAAACAAAAACACTCGATCTTCTTGACTATCATACCTTTATCCAAATTATGTAAAGAAGCAAACATAGCAATTCAAAATAAAATTTCAGAGTCCACTACAACATGTCCTGTTCCCTCTAGCCTTACTCTGCTGTGAAGGAAGAACATGATGGTTAAAGGAACATCTGAAGAACAAGTTTTGTCATAGGGTATAAATGACTTCCCTATCCTTTTCTTCACAAGACACACTGTACCAGGTCATTAATCTCCGCTATGCGGTCACCACTGTAATTTAAAACTACCAAGGATCTTTCCAAGCCAGACAGTAAAATCATTTCAAGAGTGGTCTAGCTAACACCTATACACTAGGATTTGCCATTAATAAAAATTTGGGTAGATCAATTGTACATTCAGAACATTTTATTCAATAAAGAGAATCAAACATTCCTAAGGAAACATCCAAAAACTATACTGCACATTCATCAACCTTAAGAGCACTGGTCAGTATTAAGTCCAACTGGGACCTACTTCAGTGGGTTTATATATAAAACCATATTAGGAATTTATTCCTTAGTAAATGTTGGTGCATTTTATCTCTGACAATACTAAGCAAGGATTTTTGATTTATTTAATATATGGGGGTGCCAGTGTTCTTATCTACAGGGTTGGTTATGGAGGGCTATTGCTCATTCTCCCATCTTGCAATGCGATGAATAATCTACAAAACTTTCTCAAGAATGGTAGATTCAAAGATAGCTGCATTCCAAACATATATATGGATGGTTCACTGAACAAATTTATTTTTATTTTTTGCTTCTGATGCCACTATTCAAGCATGGTGACATGCCTGTCTGTGGTATCATCCTTCTCTATGCTTGTGAGAACAGAGAACAGAGTGGGAAGCCTATAGGAAAGCCAAGAATCTTCAGTGCTGAAAAATGATCTGGTCCTGCCAGAAAATAAGGGGGCATAGCATAGTCACACTAAACTGCATCTTCAGGTTGTCTATGGAGATTCACAATCATAGTTGTCCCAAGGATACTTTTCTCAAAAGCCAATTGAACTTTTTTTCTCCATTGAAAACATTTCACTTCTCATCCAAGATTAACTGAAGAAGATTCTTTGATGAGAAGCGAAATGTTTTCAAAGGAAAAAAGCAAACAAACAAGAAAGCCAAGTTGCCTTTTGGAAAAATCACCTTTGGGACAGCATATTCAGGGCTTACTCAGCAACATAAGTTAGCCTGCCTGCTATCCTATTTAGAGTCTGACTTGAGATCACACGATGCAGCCTGCCTGCTATCCTATTTGGAGTCTGACTTGAGATCACATGATCTTCTCTACATCTGGTCTACATCTGGTTGGGATGATGGGAACTCCAAGGATATTCTCTCAGTCATATAAATGTTGTCACTGTTTTCCTACTAGATCTTACTAATCATACTTACACTCCAATTCCCTACTCACTGGCATCCGTCTTTCCAGCACTATGTTATTCTTTTTAAGACTTTCACATACATTTGAAAGTCAAGTGTACAGTACATTTATGCAACCATATCACAATATATGTAGTTGTCATCAATCGATGTCTAACAGAAAGAGCATGAACATTTGGATTCCAGTCAAGAGCATAAGAGCATGGATTAAGCATGAAATGCAAGACAAACCAAGAAAATGACTTAGTTTTTTTTTACAGGAACTAAAAAAGAGGCATGTTAAACCCTCAAAGAATTTTATGCAATCAGATTAAAAAAAATGGAAGAAAAAATAAATTCTATGACACTATTTGAATGAACTAAAGATTAAGACTGTTAAAAGTTAAAGGAATGAGTATAAAGTAGCTTATTGGTCAATATTAAAATAAGCCATTTATCTACGTTCTGAAAACTTTTTAGGGACTTTATGCTGACACCAAGATTGAAAAGTTTATGTTTTATGGATTTGCTTATAACTAAGGAGATACGGGATGAAATTTTTTTGTAACCTTAAGGGATGAAGAGTTATTAAATTTCTCCATATTTCTAATGACGGTTAGAATTCATTTCTTTATATAATTCTTTTCTTTTTCTTTAACATATTTTTTCTTTTTTCTTACACTTTTTATTATTTCATACTATTCTTTTTGTTTTAAGTTTCATTTGTATTAGTTGTTATTTTGAAATCAAAATACTTAACAAAATAAGTAAAACTATCTGGAAAGAATCTAACATTTCTTGATTATGTATTACCCAAATCACACAATTTAAGGGTAAATGTTATTGGGCAAAGCAATCAAAAGAGGTGTCTTACAACATGTGGGGAGACAAATAAAATATCTAACTTTGAATCATTAAAGCACCCACATCTTTTGCAAAGCTCAAGCGGCTGTTTGAAAGCTATCTCCATTTATATGCATTTTAAAATGCTTTGGGCATTCCAGATTATTTATCTTTTCTGGCAATGAAAACTTGCAAGAAAACACAAAGATTAGACATAGGAATCAATGATCCAAAAAACCTTTCCAATAAAAGCATTTATTTAATGTCTCTAGCATTCTGCAAACATGAGAGACAAGAGATCCCCTAGAAACCATATTTATTTATGCCTATGTAAACACTCAGTCAACCTTGGCTGATTTCAAAAAGCAGGGTTGTATTGCTTATTGTTATTCAGTGAGAAATTGCCAAGAAATCCAAGGACTGCAGACTAGACTGGGAAGTCAGAAAAGCATTCCAGAAGAAACAATTTACTGTTACCTAGAATTTTACATGATGTGTTTATGAAGTTATCAGAGATAAACTCAACTCAAAGGGGGCAAGACTTTATTTAACAATAGACTTGGCAATGGAATTAAAAACATTACGTAGGTAGAGCTGTATTCTTGCTAAAAATATACAGTATCTTGACATAAGCCTCCAAGTTCAGTAGGGACTCATTTACATGGCTGCCCTGTGGAGAGGACATTTTTGGAAGAGGAAGAATACAAACCATCAGATCACAAATGTCTTTCTCTTATTGTACATCTTGCTATATAGACCCACCCTGGCATCCTGCAACCCCATTGGATCAAAACATTGGTTCCAATTTAACACTGCCTAGTTATGTACTTTACAGGGTATTATAAACACGCCATAATTCCACATCACCACCACCACCAGAATGTGAATTTAGCCACAGACTTCAGCTTTCCAAGATTTTTCTTAAAAAAAAAAAAAAAAAGAATTTGCTCAAATATATGTTTTCATCAAATACTTTAAGAGGCAAAGACAAAATCTCCAAAACTGGTTAAGTTCAGAGAAGATGTTTAAAAAGATTTTCAGCAGCCACAGGGAAAAATAACCAGCAAGATTCCTGTCCTACTCTCAAGGCTTGTAGATGTAAAATGAATTATGCAAAATAAAATCATCCATGCAAATTGGCAGGATAAATACAGAGATTGATTTGTTATTTCCAGCCCTATTTCTTGTTTCATCTGTCTTAGATTAAACGAACAGCTTCCTTGAAAAAAGATAATAAGATGTTGAAGCATCTCTATCTCTAGTTATCCAGATTCTCTTTGCTTCTGAGAAAATAATACGCTAAAGGTAATTTCTATAAAGAAAGGAATGATCATGAAAGAAAAGAAAAACAGAATTGACAGGAAACTGTCATTCTGCATATGGATCTGCCCTCTCTTAACCTCTCAGTCCCAAAGGGAAGGAATAAATTTCAATTCATAAGCTACATTATTGAAGCAAGAGAAAAATATCCAACAAGATTAGAGAAAAATTGTATTGAAAAGGTCAAAAATAAGTGAACAGTATTAATACTAATACTTCCGTGTTGGAAGCACCATAGTGAAAGGATTTGCAGGTAACACCATGGTTGCCTGAGGGACGCCCAAGTGGGGGCTCCTTCCACACCTCTGTGATGTTGCCCACCATAGTACCCATTAATCCAGTGGTCCCAACCTTTCCAGTTTGGCAATCCGGCGGAGAGGGGTAGGAGATGGTTCCATGCAAGTGGTAGGTGTGCAGGCGCAGCTTCATTTGCCCAAGTGCTTGCCGCTAATGCAAGTGGAGCTGTGAGTTCACCCACTGCTTGCATGGCCTGGTTCTAAATGGGCTGCAGCCCTCTAGTAGGCCATAATCCAAGGGTTGAGGACTCCTGCATCTACATATGGTTGCCTGCATTCAAACTGTTGGATCGGTGGAAACTGGAGCATGAGACAAGACCTCACTCCGCCCCATAGCAGCAATGGGTCCCAAATGCCAGGCTGCTGATTGTCAGTCCAGCTGTCTAACCTCATAAGCCACCACGCTTGTTAGGGAACAGTTATTTCATCAGATCAAAGCAATGAACACAGGCTGTTTTCATGATGCTGAGAGCAAACATGGCCTTCCTGAGTAGGTATAAAACTTACTAATAAAACCAGGGTGTTAGTTTCCTAGCATAACAGTTGCAGAACAATTTAATCTCTTTATGAATGATAAAGTTCTCTGATTTAAATCTCTTTCTGCCAAGAACCAAGTAAGAGACTCTGAGCAATCTTTTTTTAAACTTTAGCCTCCCATTTCCAGCAGGATTTTAACTGTATAGTTTTACTTCCATAGCTGGAGTAGAAATATGACTAGAAGTTCAGGGGACTCAAGGAGATTTGGCCAAGGTCTTGGATGCCCTTCAAAAATCTGTTCTCTGATTTCCAAGTACAACCAGTTAAACTGGTTCAGTTGCACTGATTCATGACCACGTCTAGATCAATGATCTTCTTAAATGCTACTTGGAATTATTCAAGGAAGCTTCTTATAAATATAAGAAGCTTGTATATATATATATATGTCTTTGGTTGTTCAGTTTTTCTCCCGCGATGTTTCGACAAAGTCTCATTCGTCATCTTCAGGCTGGTGTCTTCGGCTTCGTGCTCCTAAAAGCAGTTGTGATTGCTGCCGGTGGATGGCTCAAGTTTGAGCTGATACAAGGCAAAAGATTTCTCTCTCCCATATTTGGGTCAACAGGGTGTAACATACAGCATTATATATATATATATATATATATATATATATATATATATATATATATATATATATATATATATAAGATATCCACTTATAATTTTAATTAGTATCAAAATTAAAGTTCAGAATCATCTCAATCTGAAAATCAAAGCCTATGAGATCCGAATGTTTCTAACAAAGGTAGCTTTAATTAGATTCCACATTCTTTCATTATTGTTATAAATTAACAAAAGCAGAGTAACAACATTAATAATGAAGTGAAAGTAATATGTTATTATTTTGCAAATGGTACAAATGGTCACAAACCTGATCGTGCATTAACAAATCATCCTCATTTTTGCCGTCTTTGCTACAAAAAAACAAGAAAGAAATATTAAGGAGCATGTCATAAAGGAAGCGACAAGCAACGTACCATTTTTTTATAATCATAATTTTTTTTTAAAAAAGTGGGTGAAAATAAAATTTAAAATTTCAAATCATGCTTTATAGTTCCTTCTTTGAGACTTGCATGGAAAAGCCAAGAGATCAATCTACTATTAACAGACGTGAAATACAATATGAATACATAAAATAAAGCATTCATTATAAAGTTAAAACATCTTTTTCTGAAAAATAGCAGCATTTTCAAATGAGGACATACGCAGGCATACAGAATCAAAATTAGCCTTTTTTTTCTCTATGTAATGAAACTGGTTTCAAAGTATAATTGGATTCTCTAGTATAGACCTTAACTGACATTTAAAAAAACTTTAATTTTAAGATAGAATAAATTCTAAGCAAATCACCTTTCTTCAGAAAACACCTCCATTTCATCTACATGTCTCAAGGAACCAAAAGTTTCCATCGCCTGTCAAACATTAAGACAATTGTTAAGAATTATCATTTTAAAGTTCACCTCTCAAAACCTCTAAATGTAATTGGGATTTCAACTGTCAGTGCACCAACGCACACCACAGTTGTGTTCCATCCATAATAAGAAATGTTATTTATGATATAGGCAGTGAAATAGAAAGGACCTATGAAGGACACAGTAGGTCTACTGACTCAGAGATGGTGGATTATCACACTGCTGTGCAATGGGTGATCATGAATGATAGTTCCACGGAAGCGATTTCTACGACCTAGGAAAGTCTGGGGAATTAGAATTAGTGGAAATCCATAGAAAAATTCCAAACCTGCAATATTATAAGCCCTCTCTAAAATACCTCTGTTATCTCTGTTTCCAAGGGCTCACCCCAACACAGGTAGTCCTTGACTTACAATTGAGCCCCAAAAAATCTGTTGCTAAGTGAGACAGTTGCTAAATGAATCACTGTAGTTGTTAAGTTAGTAACGCAGTTAAGTGAATCTCGCTTCCCCATTTGACTCTGCTTGTCAGAAAGTCACAAAAGGTGATCACATGACCCCGGAACATGCATCTGTCATAAATATGAGTCAGTTGCCAAGGGTCTGAATTTTGATCACATGACTGTGAAGACGCTGCATGGTCGTGTGAAAAATGGTCATAAGTCAGTTTTTTCAGTGCCATTGTAACTTCGGTCACTAAATAAACTATTGTAAGTTGAGGACTACCTGTATGCATTGGTAGGCTTGAGTTTCCTATGAAAATGGTTGGTTTCATCCTTGATACGTTGAGCAAAGCCACAAGTCTTAGTTCAGGTACAGTGCACAGCCGTAATATGTTCTTTGGAACATTCTTTCTTCTGGGAGAAGTAAGACCTCGACCTCCCTGCCTTTAAAACGATTTGTTCCAAAGGGCATTTGAGTGCTTTGACACAAATATTACCTTGGAATAGATTCATTTAGTTGGATTATTATTTTATTGCCTGGCTGTTTTAAAACTGGAAACAATCTTTGTGGGAAAATGAATAGCCTATATATAATTGTATGCATGCATGCACGCACATATCTGTAAATAAATAAAACTATGATGTGAAACTAAAATAGCTGGTTTCACACTGCGTTAAGCTGAAAACAAACAATGACATGGATGTGCTGCCATTGTTTTCACTGGTTCATTACAGTATACATAGTCCTCCACTTATGACTGATCATCCGACTGTTCAAACTTACAACGGACTTTTAAAAAGCCACTAATGACCACCCCTCAAAGTGATGTCAGCTCCCCTCCATGGTGGTGTTTCAGGTGCTTAGCAACCGGCTCACATTTACGACTAGTTGCAATGTGCCGTGGTGAAATGACAATGGTTTTTGCCATGGTTAGCATCTGACCCACTTTAAAATGCTACTTGTCATCTTATAACGTGTGGCACCAAGGTATATCAAGGACCACTTTGCCAAGTAGTATCCTGGCCATCTACTGCAAATATCTAGAGAGGACCTGTTGAAAGTCCTACTCCAATATGAGCTTCAGAGACTGTGAGGTAGGTGGCGTACCCTGTAGTAGTCCCACATTTAGAAAATTTCTGTGCATAGAAGTATTTACCCCTACCCATTCTTTTGTTTTGGACCTCAAGATCTTATTTCAGTGGATCTTTGCCCATAGTAAGATCGCAGGTGACCCACCTGTTTTACTATTATGATTATAGTTATTAAACCAAGGTCTAGGAGTTTTATAATTTTCATGGTTTTCTTTTTCCCCCTCCTGTTATATGCCTGTAGAGTCTTGCATATGAAAGAAAGTACAAACATCTCAAAAATAAATACATAAATGTATATCACTGTAGAGACTCATCTTTTGCTGTGAAGGAACTTTCCTAATTTTTGACAGAAAATTCTGGGTAACTGAATAACACAATGGGCAAATTCTTTATTATTTAAACTTACTTCTGACTTGCCCACTGAATGCAGTTGTTACTTGCAAACTTCAGACTCTGGGACCATTTCCTCAAATAGTTGAGGAAATGTTACAGAGCTATTCGGCAAGAATAATCATCAAGACCACTTTAAATTTAGACGAAATATGAGCTGGCTGTCCATGGGTCATACTAAGTCACAATATGACATTTGAAAGCTTGACTTTCATAATTTTGCTTACCAAAGAACTCTCTTGGTTGTCGTTAAGCTCAGATAATTTGGTGCTGGATTTCTGACGTTTTGGTTTACTTCTTTCGCCAATGTAACCAGAACTGTTCTCGTGACATTTTTCTACTTCCTGAGCATTTAATATACACTCTTCAATGCTACTGAAGCCAGAAGGAATATTTTCTTTATTGATGACCTCCCTATATAAGAAGAGGGGGAAAAGATGGCAGAGTTCCAGATCATTTCCAGTTACTCATAAAGGCAACCCAAGCAATTATTTTAATTTTGCAAGTTCTAGAAAGATAATTATACTTCCTCAGATATCTTATAGCCTAATCTCTCCTGGCATTTTCTTCAAAGAATCTGCAGAGTCTATCTCTAGTGCAGAACAAGCGGTCCAATGGACAGATCTGGAATTTTGAACCTTCACAAAATCCCTATCATGGCTGAAATGTGTCTGTTCACAAATACCAAACTGTCAAGACTATTCTCTGCCAGATCGTCTAGTCACCTAATAACGGGCATGATGCAATGTTTTCCAACTTGGCAGCTTTAGGATTAAACCTTGGTGGTTGGGGAATTCTGGGAGTTGAAGTTCACCCATCTTAAAGTGGCCAAGGTTGAGAAATACTGGCATATACCAAAAGTTGATATGCGGTTCGAGCCTAGCACTTTGTTCTATGATGTATAAGCTTTTTATTTATTGGTTAAAAAGTTTAAACATTAAAGTTCACTGGGGAGGAGTATCATAGAAGCTTAATTACCTATCCCCTATCTAGCCTAGCATAAAGCCAAGTGATGAAGCAATGTAATTGAACTGAAGCAGACTGAACAATGCTGGATGGGATGCTACCTGGAATTCCACAGGAAAAGGTTGACATGCAAATGAGAGTGAAAAATATGACTTCCAAGAGGAAATATAGTAATGAGAAGACATGGCTGGATATAAGATTTTCCATATAGTCCTACTGTCAAGTACTTAAAAAAATGAGTTCAGTCTAATAAAAGGCATTCTAGGCCACATTAATTTCTGGTTAGGTAGGTCTAGACCAGTGTTTCTCAACCTTGACATGCTGGCTGTGGAATTCTGGGAGTTGAAGTCCACATGCCTTAAAATTGTCAAGGTTGAAAAACACTGGTCTAGACAAATCTGACAGGTTAATCAGAATATTTGGAAAAATTTCCATCAGACAGATATGTACAACCTCTAAGATTTATATTTCTCATTTTCTGTCAGCAGAAATAGAAGAACAGCTTCACAAGAAATTCTTTCACAAGTTTTTCTCATTTGTACGGATTATCATTCAATCACATAAATCATTTATGGAATCAGACATCATGTATGCCTGGGTCTATTTCAGCTACAGTATTTATTAAAAACTTAGCCACAAACCTCCTTGGTTGTAATTGTTTATTTATTTATTTTTAAAAGCACCTGCTACTCAAGTAGCCAGTTAAAAGTTTGAGTAACTTTTAAAATTATGATTCTCAATTATTTCACAAAATATAAAGTTTCATATATACACATAGACATTCTGCAAAATGTTCACTTTCTGCCAAATCTTTAAAAAAAAAAAAAATCAAAAAGCGAGAACTGTGATGATTCCAACCCCTCTTTCCACAATTATCTAGGAATAGAAGGCAACAGAGAAGAAAATGATGTAATGCCACCACTGATCAGATATACTAACCTCTGGGTCACAGATTTCACTTATAGTCTAGTTATAAATTGGCTTACAATGATGTGGAAAATCAGCTACTGAAGTCTGCAATCTATTGCTTATGGCTTACATTTACAACTGTGTAGATCCACTCTAAATTAGAGAGTCCCATATTTTAAACTAAAATACTGCAATATTTTCATTATGCAATTTTTCTTCTTCTTCCCTATGTGCACATTTTGCCAGCCTCAGTAACGTTAACTGTGATTTATGAATTAACATTGAACATTGTGTACTAGACAGAAATCAAAGGTGTTCAGAAAAATAATGCTGAAATCATGGTTTAATGCAATCCTACAACTCTGTTGATTGAAGTAAAGCAGGTTTATCAAGGATCCATTTATGAAAATCTCACAGCCTATTTGTATTATGTGTTCCATAAATCTATGCCATGTAATGATACTGTTAGGTAGGATCAAAGAATCTTCTGCAGACCTCTGGCATTTAAAACTAGGTATCGCTTTCTAATCTTAGCATATCACTGTGATGCTAGGTTCAGCTTATTCTGGGCTCAAATTTGCAAAAGATTTTGAAGGATAAAAGAATGTCAAAATCTTATTCTGCTGCTAGAATATTACTGTTTCGAGATGAATTGTTCAATCCTCGTAGAAATGAGTTGGTTTGCAAATTGCACTTGACTAAGGTAAAACATACAGAAATGTAGTTAATTGGTGTTATTTTAACTCCCTGCCCTTTCCTTTTTTAAACTTATACATTTAATTTTTTTGGGGCTTTCTGGGTTTTTTTTTTTACTCCTTTTCTGTGCTCTGCATAATTGTGCTCTCCTTGTAAGGGAGGTGCATGGGGTTTGTATCTCTAAACATGAATGTATGTGTAACTTCTAAACCAGTGGTTCTCAACCTTTTTAATGCCGCGACCTCCAACCAGTCCTAAGTCGAGGACTACTCAACTGGTGCAGCACCGTTTGCAGAATGGGACTTTTGGCGGGCTCAGCAGGGCAGAGACAACCTGGACAATTCCTATTGGCTTTTGAAAGCCAATAGAATTAGACTCTATTCAAGAGACTCTATTCTATTGGCTTTCAAAAGCCAATAGAATAAAAGGGAGTAGCACAGCTAAGGAAAAGGGGAAAAAAATGGCAGACTGAGTTGTTTGGCGACCCCCATGAAATGGTCATTCGACCCCAAATGGGGTCCCGACCCACAGGTTGAGAACAACTGTTCTAAACACTCTGGAGGATTTTAAGAAAGCACATAACAAGATGACTATGGGTTCTGCTTTGCAAACATATATTCTTCCTTTATGCATCCTCATTTATTTCTCTAGTGATGTGACTTGATCATTAAGCTAGGGATAGATATTTGTTGAACCAACATGTTCTGAAATAATTAGACAATTTTATCTTAACAATAAAACTAGGAAATTCACATCTGTGACAATGTTTGCCAACAGTATCCTCACTGGAGAACTTCAGCAAAACTCAGCTAATTGTGATAATCATTTGAATACATAGAATATTAGCTCTGGAATGCATCAGGCTTCTTGACAACCTGGGGGGGGGGAACCAGCTTTTTGCAATTATTTGATAATTGATATGAGAGAGCTCTAAAACTGTCTCACAGAAGAAAAGAGAAGAAAAAAGCATACCTATCTCTGGTCTTTCGGCCTTCATCTTGTTCTTTATGGTGTCGTCTGCGCTGCCCGGTAGATACACCAGAAGGTGTTAATGAGGTTCCAGATTCAGAGTCTTCAGAACTTTGACCACTAGAGCCATGAACATCAAAAAGATGTTGTTCAACAGCTGTCCGGATAGTCTTTTCTAAGAATCTGTCAAACCAACATAAATTACACACACATACATATATACAAGTATTGGTATTTTTTTTAAATGATAATGAATTCCCAATGTGAGCCTTTCAATATTTTTATACATTTATAAGTATTTGCCTCAAAAATGATTTGCAAGAAGTGTTTCAAATATGACTTGTTCTATATTAAGTTCTACTATTCATTAAAAGAGACCAACTTTTTTCAGGCTTCTGCATAAAAACAGAAAGAAAGAGACTTCTGCTTTAAGGGTTGTCCTAGCTTGAATGAAAGGATTTTATAAAGCAGCAGCATTTATTTTCCTGGGGAATTTATTATTTTGCTAGGTTAGATTTATTAAGTCATTTGTCTCATAAAAATATTTTTGTATTTTTATATCTCTTAATGTTAAGAGATTAAAAGGGTTATTTATCCAAATAAGTTTGCTAGCATTTTCTACTTAGATTGATTAACACAGGTAGGATAAATATGTTTGATTAAAAAAATTAGATGAAAAAAAGAAGACAGGAAAAAAAACCCACAATAAATCGAAACATAAAGGAGAAAAAAATATCTAGAGATATGAGATCTGTTTCATAGAGATATGTCCCCAATTCAAAACTGGATGCTGCTTTATATGTCTTTTGTTTTGCTGTGTCCTTGACAAAGAATTTACACAATAAAGTATGTTTTTCAGACACCTGAGATACTACCATTCCCCTCACCAGTTTTTTTTTTATTAGACCTGTCCTCTTTCTCTTTCTTTGAGTGAACAGTTGTGTAAGATCCATGATATAGATCACTTTTGAAGAGTGCACAGATCTGATCAATAAACTTATTTGTAGCCATTTTTTTCTGTGAGGCAACAGGGCAGGGCTCCCTTTCAGAGTCCCATGTTTATTTGTGTAGGATTAAGTTGGAAAAAGAGACACTGTCTCAAGTTCATTCAGAGAAATGTATGGCTAAGTGGAGAACAAAGTCTAGCTCTTTTGAATCCAATCTTCAGGTCAGGGAATCATGCAGCTTAATCCTCTGACTTTAGGTGCTTTATATAGGACATTTCTGTGGCTCACTTATTTTCTTTATTAATGCTACTGTACAGTTGCTATTGTAATTCTCTGCCTTCATCAAAATAATCTACCTTTTTCTTCTTTACCTACCATGTCTTTTTTTAATATTTAGCTCCCTCTACTGATAAAAAAAAAACTTGTATTTGCTTAAAAAAAAAATACTGTACCAGACCAACAAGTGGAAAAGAGAGAAGTCTTTTGTTGAGGGTTTTTGGAAGGTGGGGAGTTTTTGTTTCTAAGGATACAAGGGGGTTCCTTGAGTTTTTGAGTACTTAAAGAGGAAAAAAGTCCAGGAAAAAAATTATTTTTGGTCTTTTGGGAGGAGGGTTGGTTCTTTTAAGACAGTGGTTCTCAACCTTTCTAATGCCGCGAGCCCATAATACAGTTCCCCATGTTGTGGTGACCCCAACCACTTATACATCACTGGGTGCCAGGGGCATGGCCAAAGAAAAGGGGGAAAAATGGCGGACAGCCTTGTTTGGCGACCCCCATGAAATGGTCGTTCGACCCCAAATGAGGTCCCGACCCACAGGTTGAGAACCACTGTTTCAAGAGATGCAATTGAAAGCAGTTTGAACACTGACGTGCAAGCTTTCTGAACCTAAGCAACCTGGGACTGGGCCTTACCTGAGTGGAAGAAATCTTGAGTGTACAATAAATATGAAACGAAATCTGTTAATTGGCTTAAAACAAGATCAGGTCAAATTGGCTCGAAGTAATCTTAAAATACACCCTTCCTTAAGAAGTCAAGTAACTGTCAAACTGGGCACAGGTAGTCCTCAAGTTACAACCACAATTGAGCCCAAAATTTCCTAAGCAAGACAGTTGTTATATGAGTTCTGCCTCACTTAATGACCTTTCTTACCACAATTATTAAGTGAACCCCTGCAGTTGTTAAGTTAATAACATGTCACAACAATCGTAAGTGTGAAAAATGATCCTAAACCACTTTTTTCAGTGCTGTTGTAATTTTGAGCGGTCACTAAATGAATGGTATAAGTTGAGGTCTATATTATCCTACAGGCAGGATACCACACTTCACATGATCTAGCATTTTTTAGCAAAATCATTGTACTACCCTGTTCAAGAATCAGTTGGGCAGTCATTAACAGATACCCAAGATACCTTTTCTTCATTAGGTGGCTGTACACAAAAAGGTTGAAACTGAAACCACTCAAGCTACACAATCATAATCTTATCTTCTATTATGTCTACCACTACAGCTTTCAAGGATGTGGTACATTTGCCACATGCGCACACAAATCACAAGATATTTAATTAGGAAAAACAAGAACTAAAGAACAGAATGAAAAAGGAGAAAGAATTACTTACTCTCCAGTAGCAGGGATGTTGTTGACTTGTGACACATGAGCACTGTATAAAAAAGAGGTTAAACGAACGATAGGTGTAATTTCTGAAATAGTGGTTCAAAAGTTCACTTAAATGCTAAGTGATATATTTAAGACACAGTTTTACTGAGAATCAAGCAATTAGGTTCCAAACGACAGTGCATATGCACTGGAATATATTTAGATGTTCAAGGATATCATTTAATTCCTTACATTTGGTAAAACAAGTAACAGAACCATTTTTTTAAAATTACAGATTTGTATTGAAACAACCATGATTACAGAAAATATATGAGAATTATGACTTTCTGGGAGTAATGATTTCCCCATTGTTTCCAGCAAAGAAATTGGCATCTATCCTAAACCTCTGAGACAGACCTAAGTATATATATACAGCCAATGTAGAAATGCTGGCCAGTCTCACATATTTTGCACAAAATGTAAACACACACCTTTAAAACCCATCTATAATATAGGAGGTAATTGCTTTAAAAGAAAGGAACATAAATCAAAATCAACGTAGCTAAGCCCATCTTATTTGATCAGCAAGTTATTTTTTTCCCCACAGCTAATCAAAGCCATATAGGAAAAATCATGAGGTGAAAAATATATTTGGAGCCATTTTCAATTCTTATGCCTTATACAGACTCATTAGCTATTGTCAAGCCCATGAAATGTTACTACAAATAGTCAGGGTAACATGTCATAATTTCTCCCTGATCTAATGATGGAAGCAGATGTTCTAGGAAGCCTTGAAGTTCATGTCTAAAGATCATGTCTTTAAACTGTAAGGCAAGATTATATTTGAGACTTGGACAGTCCCCTTTCCTTACCATCCCTTACTGACTCAGCTTTGCAGATAAGAGAGTCATATGACATCCTTCTGAATGCAGTATTCAATAAACAACTTTTCTGTGAAGCATAAAACAGGGCTTATTATCTTTATTGTCTTTATTATTTATGATAGCTGGCTAACCTACCTGCCTACAAATCAAGGCAACATCACTAAAGGAAAGCCTAAGTGAATACTATACTGGGAAACATGTAACCATACCATGCCAAGAGAACAAGAAATTACCAGTGACAATTTTATTCTTTTAAATATACTGAGTTTTAACATGTTCTGAATTCTTGCTAATATTTTCTACTGAAATTCATCTCCAGCTTTGTCCAGCAGACATAGGTTTGTTTTAAATAAGCAGGATGATTAACACAAGATATTCTAAAGATGGCTGAACAGAGACACAAGGCTCTTTAGTATGGTCAATTAATTTATGTTACTTATGAAATAAATTACTAAAAGTGAGCTAAGATGCTAATTTTCACCATTCAATTATATCAGGATGGACCAAGAAACTTACACAAGTACAGCCAATATATAAAAACCAATGTTACATCTAAACTTAATACTAGAGCTAATTCTGAAGAGTTTTTGGAAATTCTTCTTTTTCACCCCAAATGCAGTAACACACTTCTCTGTCAGTAGCTGAACTGGTTACCCACCAGTTATTAAAAACTAAAGGATGTCTCGGATGCTGTCTCTTTTTATATCAATATACCCAATCCCTAAGATTAAAAAAGAGGTACATCTCAACTGTGATGGAGACCTGGTTTATAGAGACCAAGAAATGCCCGTCAAGAAGCTAGAAGAATTGCTCAAAGAAGCAAGACTTCTGTTATCTTCACATGAAGTTCTCAGAATTGCTTTCATAGAAGACATACTTCTTTCAAGAAATATGATGAAGAGACATCCATATACACATGAGAAGAGAGGAAGCTATTAGATAGCTATTAGATCTATTAGATAGTTTCTGATCTTGTCAAGTGATAGTGGCTTGCCAACTTCAAGGCAACAAAAGGTCTTTCTCTTCACCTGTCACTTACAGCTTTTAAACACAAATGCCAAAGAGTTAATCTGACATATTTGGCCATGAAAACTATGTACTTTCATACTGCAATGTGCTACAAAGTCTATCATCTAATGCAGGGGTTTCCAACCTTAGCAAGTCTAAGATTTGTAGACTTCAACTCCCAGAATACCTCAGCCAGACATGCTGGATGAGGAATTCTGGGAGTTGAAGTCCACAAATCTTAAAGTTGCCAAGGTTGGAGAGCCCTGATCTAATGTGATAATGAACTGTGGCTTAGGAACAGAAATTGTTGCTCTCACACAGCAGCATGTATAAATATACAAACGTAATTTCATGTTTTATGCAGAAGGAAAGCCCTTCAGTAGGTCAGATTGTAAAAATCTGCTACATACATACATACATACATAATTATCTATAAACACCAAAGTTACTATAGGCTGTTTTAGAACATGTGACACTAGAAGGAACATCTATGATATACACAAAATACAATATGTATATAACATCATATAATCTTTATATAATATCAAAAACTAATTTGAGGAGACAACTACTTTAAAATTACCTTGTAAAATTCCAGCTGCTAAATCTGTACCTTCTAAAATCTGTGAGACTTTTTGATAGCACACAGATAACGTTATCAAGTAAGCCCAAGGTAACGATGTCTTCCTACACTACTGACACATTATGATCACTGTGGAGCTTGCTTGCAAAAGCAGCTACCTTTGTTATCAGGAAAACTAATCCAAATAGTAAGTATAAAGATTTACTTTTGAACAATCCTTCCAATCATTTAGAATTGAATGCAACTCCTACAAATAAAAGCGCAAACTGCCTAGTTTCAATAAATTTTTATTGCCATATTATTTTGAGCATGACACAATAATTCCCAACCAGGCAAAAGAAATAGTGTGATTGGGCTATTTTCCTATAACTGGGCTATAAAAATAAATAAAATATTTCTGAATGCTGTTTTCATTAGATTATCTGTGGGGAATACCAACGGCATACCTCAATTACATAAGACCTGAATGAGAATGACAGAGAAAGTCTGGAATTCCACATTTATTTATTTATTTATTTATGAGACTTATATACCGCTTTAAGTGCAAGCACTCTCTAAGCGGTGTACACCAGTAAGCAATGTATATATATTTTACATTGCCCCCAACAATCTGGGTCCTCATTTTACCTACCTCGAAAGGATGGAAGGCTGAGTCAACCTTGAGCCGGTGAGATTTGAACCGTTGACCTGCTGAACACAGTCAGCTAAAGTGGCCTGCAGTACTGCACTCTAACTGCTGCACCACCTTGGCTCTTTGACAACTACTGGTCCCAGAGTCACTTATTTGAGATGGTTGACATATAAATTAAATAAACAGGAGATGTGTCAGGGAGTCACATTCTAGTTGTGAAAACAAAGCAGTAGGAGAAAAAAAAATCAAGCAAATGAACACTGTTTTCTAAAGAGAAAGGAAGAACTATAAGAGAAAGCTATAATGCAAAAAGAAAAGAATATAGATGAAAAAGTAGAAAAGAAAGAAAAAAATAAAGTGGCTTCTGATCTTCTTTAAAGCCATTATAAGTACAACTGTAGATTTTGCTCCTTCTTTGAAATTACATCATTACTTTCTTTTTTCTATACTCTATCTTACCTAATTGTCAAAACCATTGCTCATGAATTCACTTTTTTCCTGTTTTATGCAAAAAGTTCATAAGAAGAGACAACATATGGCGTCTCCAAGTTGGAATTTACATGTAAAAAAACTGATGGAGTGCAGATTTCAAGTAAATGACAAGAAGAGAAAACTTATGTATGAGATTTGTCCTATCTTTAGGCAGAGGAAGAGTGAGGCGGTCAACTTAGGCTACCAATGTTGGGAGGCCTTAGGTGGCCTCTTTTCCTTGGAATCAGTACAACCTGTTGGGTCATTGCCAAGTTCTCAGAAGATTCAATGGTTAGTCCAGCTATCTTTTGTTATGTAATGTTTTATAAATGGGCACCGGAGCTGCTTCATGCAACAAGATGTCTCAAGTCAGTACTGTTTTTCTCTTATACTATTTCTCTTGTCTAAAACGCATCCTTCTGAAAGAAGTTTTGTCAGGGAATTGCACAACTGGTGTCCAAATGAAGTCAGAGACACAAACTTGTAGTTTTTATATAAATATATTTTACATCTAAATATACACCAAACAAGACAGTCAGACAAACAGCAACAGCATCAGGTAAATCACAGAGCATACGGGACACATGGAAGAAAAAAGGCAGGAAAAAAAGGGAAATTCCCCCTCCTCCACACCCACAGCAACCAATCACAGTGCAGATTGCCTCAGGCAGGAACCAGCAGTCAACCAATCAACCACAACTGTTTTCTGGCTCACTGTACAACCCACTGCTCCAGCTACTAAATTTAAATATCTTAACAAGTTTAATTTCAAAATAACCTGTTTGTTTCCAGCAAGAAAGAAACCTAGGCCTCATATTAGTAACGTCTTACGTAATTGACACACTAACTTTCTGAAGGAGTCCCAAGGTGGGTTACTTTTAAAACAGTAAATATACAAAATGCAAAACAAGAAACAAGATTCAAGCTTCTTCATAACAACAGAAACAGAGTAATGACTGCTATGTATTGAGGGACCAGCAACAGATCATCATTTTTCACTGCTGTTTTTTCTCTTTTGCATCCTTCTACTACCTCATAGTAAAGATATTGGAAGGAGACATTTCCACTGAGTCCTTGCCAGAGTTGAAGGGTGCGGTTTAAATTGCATAACAAGTAAATAAACTTTTCAGAGAAACATAGCTGATATCTGCTATCATATGTATTGCCATAGTGATAGCCTTCTACGAGATGAGCTTTCTGACATGATTCAACAAATTCATGGAGAATAAGAGCAACAGTGGCTACTATTCAATATTATTGTACTGTCTATTACCCCTGGATAGGAGACAGCATGAGTCTGGATAACACCACTTGCAAAAGAGCATGTAGTGAAGAATGTTACTGAAATCATGTCCAGCTTGTGAATTTTTAGTTGGACACTTGGCTGTGATTTAGCCAGCATTTTTCTTCATAAACAAGAAATGATTGTATCAAAGGACTCTCCTCTATGTTATTTAAACAATTCCTTTGGCACTGGATGGTTTAATAAAAAATTAACCTACATTGAATCCTGCTTGCCAAATTCTACTTGTCCCATCTCCACAAAACATTTGTGTGAAGAGCAACACTGAATACGATTTTTCTTCAGTCCAACATTTTATCTGGGCAAGCAAAACATTTTACCTGGCCTCCACCTGGATTAACTTCTTGATCTATTGACACTTGACATTCATGTTCTGTTTTGAAATATGCCCTGTTTGCTTAACCAATGTGGTGCCAGCAGTGTTCTCCTTATTGGTGTGAAAGGCAAGGCAGAGAACATTTTTCATAGAGAAATATTGAAGGTGATTCTGGTAGACAGCTCCAAACACAAATTAATCACCCTTCTTCCACTGTCAGCCATAAGCAGAATTATAACGCGTGCCGGCCTACTTTGGATCCTTGTTGGTCAAAGAATTTTGACTACTGGGATCCAGAAGAAGAGCCTTCTCTGCTGCAGCACCTGCCCTTTGGAACATGTTACCTGCCAAGATAAGATTTACCTCCACCCTTCTATCCTGCCACAAGAGGGACCCAATGGTGGAATACCATACTGGAGGTGACTGCTGGATTGATGGCAGACTCCACCTGTCCATCTTTCTGTTATCACATTGATGTATTGTTGTGTTCTTTTTCACGGCTTGTTTTATTGCTCTATTATTTTATTTTTGTTCAGTTTACACTCTTTTCATTTCTTTGTTTTTACTGCTGTAAGTTGCCTAAAGTAGCCCTACGGCGAGATACAGAGCAAATAAATTTCACAAATAAACTTTCCATATTACATTGCATTTTGCTGTGTCCATATCCCACTGTCCTCTGACTGCACTGATAAGAATCCTTATCAGTACTCTTCAGTCTCTAAGTTGTGTACTTTTAATGTCAATAACAACTAAGTGGACATTCATAAGATCCTTTGCAGTGGTGTCATTTCTTCTGTCATGTGTTTTATTTTTTCATCACTCTTATTCGATAAAAGTAGTACACATCCCCAAATGCTGTATCTAACAAGATTAATAATGGAAACATAATCACAGTTTTGTATTTTTGCAATGCTTCTGATCAGGGGGTTCCTATCACTGTTTTTCCATGGTGATTAGTAGTACTCAATTTTTTCCCCTTCAAAATTACCATAACAGGTATACAGAACTATATAAATTAGGATATCAATATATCCAAACTGAAAAAGCATGTATTTTGGTACTTTATATAAGTGTCCAGAAAAATATCTAAAATATTTTAAAGTGACGCTTTAAAAATCCTGTGCTATAATACTGCCCACTGAAAATAATATTATATATGCTTATTTGTAATGGGGTCACTTATCCTCTTCAGCATGCCCATTGTAAAATGTCTCTGTGAAGACTGCATTTTGCAGTTTTGAGATGGACTGTTATGTCTTTCTCAAAAAGCATTTCCAAACAATGCAGGAGGATTAATCTCTAGGACTAATCTAACCCAGATACCATCTTGTCACAGAAGATTTTACTGAGGATCTTCTTGATCTTTGACTTAGTGACTTTGTTGTTAACAGTTTCTGCCTGTCGTTGGACAGACTTTTCTCATAAAGGAACAAACTAACCTAGGAGCTGGAAAAGAAGTAGGACAGAATTCCCCAACGTGTTAGAATACCATTATCTCATTTGAACATAGCCAAAGAGTTGATGGAGTTACAGTCTGAACATCTAGAATGGTTTTGCTGGGGAAGGCTGCAAGAGGCCAACCAAACAGTTGGCTAAGAAGATGGTTTCAATCAGGACGAATTCCATAAACAGCTGGTGAAGCTGAGCAGTTGGCAGGAAGAAACTGGGAGAGAAAATCTCCCAGGTTTGTGAAAAGTATGTTTTAAACTATAGCTCAAATCTTTTCAAGCTCTTAAATTTGGCTCAATAATTTAATTAGCAGAAAGGTTCTTGTCCGGTGAGATCCATACCACCTCAACAAGGATAGAGAAAACGGCAAGCAAATTTACATCTAAAAGGAATTTCAAGTGAGGCAACCTTGCAGCAGTACTGTACTTAATATTATGCAGGTTTTTTTTACCCAACCTGGTTTGGGTGGGGAACAAGGGGGCTCAACAGGAACACTTTCAAGCTCCTGTGCTCCTCAAAAACTCTGCAACATTTGTAGCACAGATTTTACAAGGAAAGGGGGAAAATATATACACAATGTTCCTGCTAATTGGCAAGCTTGAGGCATTGTGAGGTCCTTGGAATCTGGACAAGTCTCTTCTGCATCCACCAGTATGTTACATAACTGTCTGCTCTCTATCACTGTACTTTGTGTACTGCATAAGTTGCAGCCCACATCCTTCATGTATTTACATTCATTGCTCTGTTGTTATATCACACAAATAAGTCTACAGTGAGTTGAATTTGGGCGTCAGGAAGTTCACAAAACAATTAAGGGGAATGAAGGAAAATAAACACCCGTCTGGCACTGTGGTTATCTGGGCGGCAAAGATCTACAAGACCACCAAGTGACAAGGAAAGCAAACTTGCTTTTTGCTGCCATTTATCCATCTCCTGGATCTTTGTAAGCCAGAACAGTAGCTCTAAACAAAACAGATGCTGGCACAACAAAACCCCAAGCCATTCCTCTTTAATTTTTGAGGTTACAAAGGCAAAGGGTGGAAATCACTTAAATATGAACATCCACTTCTCATCACAAGAGCATAAAAGGAGTGAAGTATCAACCATTGGTCAGCCTTCATTCTCTCTTCTTGCCAAACTTATTCCTCCTAGCAATCTAGCCCAAAGCCACAGGTTTCTATTCTATTCTATTCTATTCTATTCTATTCTATTCTATTCTATTCTATTCTATTCTATTCTATTCTAAGAAGGTAATGAAGCCAAATTAAACTGAGATATCATTACACAGTCCTACAAGTTAGTAATAACAACAACAATCAGCATCAACCTTGCCCACTGTGGTCCAATCAATAAACCACCATGAAGAAACCACAGTTTATTGCAGGGTAAGTGCAGTTTGCATGTTGTATATGGATATCTATCTGTTGTAGATTTATAAATTCTCGTAAGTCATTGTCTAGGAAGGAAATGTTTCTGGGCAAAACATTAGCAAATGGCTAGTAATTGTCCTCTATAGCTTTTCCTTATGAATCAACCACCCCAAACAAAATATAAATTAAAAAAAATGATATAAATACCTCAGATAGAATGGTGATAAAGGCCTTTCATCCTCTTGGGAACTAAAAACAAAATAAAATATCTTTGTCATTAGCATGTTCATTTCTATTTCTTTTTTTGCAAGCTAATTGGTACAACACCAACCAGATCAGAAGAAAAGATGAGAGCCCAAAGAAGTTCATATGCTGATCTGTGATATTAAAGGCAACAGCTTGTTAAGAGAGAAGAGCAAATTAAATACCGAATTGTATTCTTTAAGGTGGAAACACGAATACCTGCAATGGAAGAATGGATGCTGAAATTAATGGAGCTGGCAGATACCAAAAGTGACTGCTTTGATTAAAGAAAAGATTTTTGTCCAACCAGTTTTCAATTGTTAGCTTGAAACTGAAAGAAAGCTTTAACTTTGGGTTTTATGATTATATTTGTTTATGATTACAGAAATAGCATGTTTTATGGTTTATTCCAATTCAGGGTCATTGTATTTTATACTAGGTGGGTAACTTTATTTCATCAATCTATCTCTTAAAAATTGCAATTCCATTGCAAAGAAAATTATAAATGCTACCACATAAAGAAACCCACTAAGCTTAAAATGCTATTATTTAGCTGCTGACTGCATTCAGGTACGATTTTTCTTTTATTTCTGCCCCAGTAACTAAAATCACTTCTAAAGAGAGTTGCTCTGATTCATATTTCCATCTCTACCTCCTAAATCAATCTGCTAGTGGTAAAAAAGAAATACAGACATTTTATGATGATGGGCTGTTTCCATGGTTGGGGACTTCTCTGGCCTTTGATGGATAGGAGGTTTGCTGGTTTGTTCAACACTCAGTGATTAGCCACAAGGACATCTTATCAATGCCCACACCATCAATTGTCAAAATCCTATTGAAATCAACGAGATTCCGGCTATATAAATGGCTTGTTAACAAACTGACTGACAGAACTGTGAAAATGATCCTAACACCTGCCACAAAAAAGTGAGTTTTAAGGAACAACTCAAAGCAGCTGTCCACAGACTTATGAGTTCTCGGCATATGGGCAGCAGCAGAAAAGACATAGGAGATGTTTCAAGAAGATTTTTTGATAGCTGAAGGTGCTGAATCGGGGGGGGGGGGGGGGAAGCTCACAGAAAGATTGCTATCAGTGACCCAAGTGTACTATCCACTATGTGGTGAAAAATCTTTTCAAGCAACATGGCACTGTTCATGAGTCAGCTTTGTCATTACTGCTAAACATAAAGATAAAGATTTCCCCTATCCAGTCGTATCCAATTCTAGGGGCAATGCTCATCTCTGTTTCTTAGCCGAGACAGCCAGCATTGTCCGAAGACATTTCCATGATCATGTGGCCAGCATGACTATACACCAAGATGCACAGAACATTGTTACCTTTCTACCAAAATGGTACCTATTTATCTACTTGCATTTGCATGCTTTCAAGCTGCACTCGGGTATTGAACCCTGTCTGTCAGCTTTCCATCTGACAAGCTCAGTGTGTTTAACCACTGAACCTCACATCCCCTGTCATTACTGCTACAAGGATCCAAATCCTACTTACACTGGACTTCAAGTTAAGGGGATGCTTCCAGCACTTGTTAAGGTTCATAATATTTCACCTCTCAGGTTAACATTCTGTTACCCCAGGGGTGTCAAACTCAATTTCATTGAGGGCCGCATCAGCATTGTGGCTGCCCTCGGAGGGCCAGGTGAGTGTGGTCAGGATGGGTGCGGCCTACTGGGTGGCGTGGATGGCGTGGGTGTGACCTACTGAGTGGGCGTGGCCAGCTCTACATCATTTGCGTCAAGGATGCCTGTGGGGGCCTGGGGAGGAGTGGGACAGATCTGAGGGTCTCTGGCAGAAGGGGGTGGGACCAGGGCAAGTGCCAAGGCATGGTCCACTGGAGGAGCTTCATTGTTCCTCTCAGGCCATGCGGGGGGGAGGGGCTGGATGGTGGTGCAGCCTGCCAGGAGCCCTGGACAGCAGAGGTCAAATATATTTGCTGGCCACTTCCAGGCGATGGTCCATTTCTTCATTCCTCACAAAGGGTGACACCTCCCCAGCATGCATCCAGGGGGTGGGGCTGATGTTGCAGGAGCTGGTTCCTCGCTGGTTCCAGACGGCCTTGTGGAGCTAAGACTGAATGCGTTTCAGCATAGATGGCCACCACAAAATTGTACATTGGCTCCCGGCCGGCCTGGGCCAGGGCCAAGGCAGAGGGGGACGTTCCCTCACTGTTTCCAAGATGGCTTCGCAGGCCACATGAAACCACTTTGCGGGCCACATCCGGCCCCCGGGCCTTGCGTTTGACATGTCTGTGTTACTCTAATGCAAAGTAATTTCTAATCATTTCTTCTAAGAAATTCTAAGGTTGTGAGCTTCTGGTACAGTTAAATATTGACTTAGCTATAAGGGTGAATAATCCGTACAATCTACATAAGTCTTCTGAGGGCAGAAAGTTCAAAGCCTCCTCACCAAGGCCAAGGTTTAAAAAGAGATCTACTACCAGACACACATATTTGTATAGTTTCCAGAAGTTTAAAAAGAGTTTATGGACCATGACATCCTGATCAAATATTTGGGCACTGAAAAGCAACTGTTTTTGATTGCTGTACTATATTTAATTATTTCTACTTTGACCTTAGATTAAAAATACCCTAGATAAAACAGATTTCCAAGAACACAGAGGAGAAAAAAAAATAAAATAAAAACACTAATGCCAAACAGCCATGAATTGTCCAAATTTCTACAGGCAGAGTGGGCATATCAGATAGCAGATGGAAGAACTACAGGTAGTCCTCAACTTACAAACAGTCCGTTTAGTGACCGTTCAAAGTTACAATGGCACTGGAAAAAGTGAATGACTTGTTTTTCACATGACTTTTGCAGCATCCCCATGATGACATGATCAAAATTTAGATGCTTCGCAACTGACTCATATTTATGATCGTTGCTGTGTCCCAAGGTCATGTGATCCCCTTTTGTAAACTTCTGACAAGCAAATTCAATGGCGAAGCCAGATTCACTTAACAATCGGGTTAATTAATCAACTGCAGTGATTCATTTAACAACTGAGGCAAGAAAGGGGCAAAACTCACTTAACAAATGTCTCACTTAATAACAGAAATTTGGGGCTCAGTTGTGGTAAGTTGAGGACTACCTGTACCCTTTTCCCCAGATGAGCAGAAGCTTTGTGCAATTAGTTGCCTGCCAGATGTCCTGCTTCCTTATTTGCATCAATTCTTAAGACAAAACATTTAAAACTTAGATCACCTCCCTAGCAAGCTGAAGTAGCACAGATCATCCATACTATTGCACATGTAAGCCATTTGTAAACATCATCTGTGCACCAAAACACACAGAAACTAGTTCCTTAGGTCTTTTAAGATGTTAGGTTCTAAGCTGTTTTTCTCTGTAGGCCTGAACTGCATGTTGATTTTAGCTTAACCTGAAGGCAAACTTTCTTTTGTTGATCTTATTTCCTCCTTATCACTTGGATACCTTGGCAAGCGTTTTTGTAAAACCCCTTTTGCAAACAGGTAATTATGCCTGGACTTTTCCAGAAAGACTTAAGACAACATTTTCTGAATCCTATCAGAGGATTTTAGCTGAACAAAAACGAAAGTGTTCTTCTCCTAACAGGGACTTGATCTAACCTTCAAAATATTTTCCAATTATGGGCTTATATAAGTTTTTCCCACACCCATTTTTCAATCTAGAAAAAAAAAAAGACTTGCATTGCATTATTGTAACTTGTATTATTGTAACTCAAGGACGCACCAAATGTTTTAGATCTGTATTTCTCAAGCTTTAAGCTTTAAAATGTGTGGACTTCAACTCCCACAATTCCCCAGTCAGCATGCTTTTACCAGCATTCTAAAAATTGTTTCTGATGCTTCATTCTCCAGAGCAACTCAGAAAACCAAGGTGCACCCTAGGGTCAACACATAGGTCACTCGTGAGCAATTTGCCCTGGTTATTGCACTACGATTTTAATTTTGTTTCCTGATCAGTTTATTGTGAGTTATATCCTTTTTGCTGATTGTTGTTAGCTGCCCATTGTGTACATATCAGATGGACGGTCGCATATGTTTTGAAAATAAATAAATAATGTCATTGTGAGTTGAGGTTGCCTCCATTGTCCAAGGCTGTTCAGGGAATTGGTGGACAATTGGCAAGCAACAACAGCGGAACCCTGGACGTTTAGTTCTTAATATCAAAAATACAATCCAAAGTTTGCAGACAAACATATGCCTACAACCCTTACTTTGGGTACAAAAATGCCACAACACCATGTTTACAACTTTCTCCCAAAAATTTACACTTGTACATTTACTTTTATCTGCTAATCCTGTTCCGAAGATAATACTGGAACTAGAAGGTCATGCGGTTTAATCATTAGTTACTGGATAACTAGACTCCAAGTTATCTAAAAGGTCATAAAAAGCATTCTAATTAAGATAAATGCTTTATTTACAGGAGACCTGAAATCAACTCGTTTTTATCACAAGATCATGCTCCTAACATGTTTAGGTGGAGAGTGTTGTTCAGCTTCTGTTGCTTTCCTGGAGAGCTGGGTCCTGCTATTCAACTTCTATTGCTTCATTTCTTAAAGAATTACAATCAAAAGGAGAACGTAGTAGACAATTGGGAAAAGACACATCTGTTTATTATTTGCAGTTTGGCAAGTCTCCCTGGATGGGTAAGACAAAAAAATGGGTCAGAGGAAGGAATGACTGATGCTATCTTTTAGCCAAGCTGCACCCTTCCTTTGAATTCAACAGTAGCATGTCAATACAGACCAAGCCTTATGTTTCATAAGAGAGTATTAGTTAGGTTGCTAAGCAAGCTACAAATAGCTACCACAGAACTATTTCTAAAAACTTGGTTGAGTGTCAACAGCCTATGATTATAGTACTTCAGCAAGAAAGCCAAGAATTTTTTTTTCAGCATTGACAAAAAACAAAACAAAACAATCCCACTCTGCCTCATGACAATATATATTCAAACTATTTTCAACCAGAAGTAGGTCTGAAAAATGACCTGATAACAATTCCTT